TAGGGATGCACCCTGTATCATCCCTTCCCTTCCCTTTTTGATACCTGGGACTAAAAGCAGATGAAACATAAATATTCTCAAGATAAAAATTGTTTGCAATTATTCTATATGCCAGTTACTTCATAGAGAGGTCTAAGGAAAAAATAATAAAAAAAAAAAATCAACAACACTAAGCCTATTTAAAAAAAAACAAATTATAGATAAACAGATGGTTTTAAGTGACAATACACCTGAAGAGGTTACAAAAAAAAATACAGAGACTGCCTAAAAAGATCATCAAGAGACCAAATTGTTTAGTCAAGGTTAATGAAAGTTCGGATACAGTGGCAAACGCGTGAGGAAGCAGATTAGATTAAGTGAGCAATTATAGAGATAAAGATTGTAAAATGCCGGTTATTTCAATCTTGTAAGAATCCCTTGGTTTTAGCACCGTCTTAAATTGTCTTTAAAATGCTTGTCATGCATTTTGCATAAGGGATGTTTCCATCAGGCTTTGAAGGGAATGGCTTGAAAGGGAAGGATGAGAAGATTCACCTGAAGCTGTCGCCTGGTTTATGACCAGGGTCCTGCATCCCGGCTGGGTTTGTCAGGAAAAGGAAATTCTGAAGGTTTGGGGTAGAGCAAGAAAAGCTGCATTTCCCCCCCAAAACCTGGACTGCTCCTGGAGGGCTTCCAGAGACATAAAGCGAGCGGGCTACGCTGCCACTAACTGCCACTATTATTTTACTATCGTGCAGCCATTATTGTTCATACCAGCTAAATTTTGATGGGAAATAATTTCTTGTTAATTACGTAAGACACACAGTGTAAAGGTTTTCATTGTCAGCAATAAACCCCAGCATTTCCTGAACCTGACAACGTGGCTCTGCAACAGCATAATTACCACTCGGAGGGATTACAGGTAAACGAGCCACTTCCATTGGAACTGGATGGAAATAAATTCTTGCCCTTTTTTCTGCCCGTTCCCCTTTATTAAGAACGCTTTAGTCAAATGGCTGTGTATTATTACAGCACATCATAGAAGCTGATTCAATTAAGGCAGCGTGGCATCACAGATTTCATTTTTATAATCTATTATTACGGATTAACTCGCTGAAGGTCTGTTTCTGACCTTGACTTTTTCCAAATTGCAATACAAGAAAAGGAAATGTCTGGTAGTAACGGAACATCCCCCGACACACGCTGACTCCTGAGTATTTAATAACCATTGAGCTTATGGCTAAGGCTTGGAAGTTTAAAAAGAAAAAGATCCCTCGGATGCCAGTCTTGGGACAGTTATTCCCAATTCCAGGCACTACTGGTAAAAGAAAAGGGTTACACTTGTTTTCTATCAAATACTATTGGAATAAGTCTGATTTTTGTTATTAAGTGTGAAAAAATCCATCTGTTGCATAGGAGTATCATCAATAGCAGCATATTTGGGGCAGCACTAATGGCAGGATCAGGAAATGCCACCAGGAACGTTTCTTTTTGTCTAAGAACCCATCTTGGAGCCAGTTGCTCTCGTGTGTGACCCCATTGTGCTTAAGGCAATTCTGCTTCCAAATGGGATTTGACAATTAAGGAAGAAAAAGGAAAAACAACCCACAAGTTTGTTCTGCTTAAAGGCTTTAGAGGAAACAGCTCCTTTGAGGTAGATGGATGTTCCCCTGCTTTCCTCCTCCTCCGTCGGTCTCTCCAGCTTCATTTCCTCCTGGTCACAGAGGACATTTCAGTCAAAGCTGCAATTTTTAACTTTCTGGGAGTTATTTGATGAAGGAAGACTCAGTTCAGCCCTCATGCATGTAAACCATCGCTTCCCCATCAGCACGAAATAGGCCAAGAGAGGGGAGCTAGTTCATCTTAGGATAGTTATAGAATAGATCCTATGAATAAAGGAGCTTTTTGTTAAATATTAAAAATAAAATTACGTACTGCTTTCCGCTCTACTTAAAATTTTAGTGAGGATAAACCCTGAGGTCCTCAAACCCATTATATATAAGCCCATTACCTTTTTTTTTCCCTAGACTTATGCTGGCTGGAAGAAGTTCTGGACACTTCAGTGTTTCTTTGGCAGATCTCTCCAGAGTATTTATTCCGCAGTAATATTTCAAAATTGACCGGAGAAAAAACAAAATATCCTGGGTGGCCCCTTCTGCAGTCTTACCTTCTTAAATTCCCCATATATTAATCTTGCAAGTACAATTTATGATGAGTCATTAAGATTATTTTCCATTTCAGACATTTAAATATTTAAAGATCCAGAGGCTGGGTTAAGATGTGAGTGCTTAAATCATCTCCTTCCACTCGCTCCACTTACCCTTCAGAGCAGACCAGTGTCCGCAAATACTTTCACCTTTCCTAAAGGAATATATCCATTTGAAACCAGGAGGGTACTGGAGAACACAACTTGTGCTGCACTGCAACGTGACCTGTTAAAACTGCAAACTTATCTATGATGTATTTAGAATTTTTCCTTTTAGGGTGGGAAATGATCTATGTGTGTGTCAGAGCGGCGGTGGTTTGAAAAGAAGGGAAAAAATACCATAAAATAAAAATCAATGTGTCCCGAGGGAGCTGGGAGGTTCTGGCAGTGCTTGCAGCAGAAACACAGAATATTCATGGTACCTGAAAAATTTTACCCGGAGGGTCCAACTGCTGTGGGTTGAAGTTGGAATAGATGCAGTCAGAGAAAAACATCCGTGTCAGGCCCAGCTACGGCACTGGCCGAAGGAAAAGGTGCACAAACCAGCTCATTTACCCGGAATACAACAAAATAAAAAGATTTTACAACATGAACTGTGGCCACTACAAGAATTAAGCAGATACTGAAAACCGGGGACAAGTTGTTCATTCTTTTTGTGTAGACAAGACAAAGCTTAAACCTCCAGATTATCCATCTTGGCTTTGCTTTTGCCGAAGGAGAGCGGCTGGAAAGGAAGAAAAGCTGAACTTACAGATATAATTTTACAATTCTCAAGAAATTTACCTTTTTTTTTTTTTTTTTAGAGCCCACAGAGAGGGTAACTTGAGTAACTCAAATACAAAAATCATCTGTTCTTCCTTGAAGTGAAATTCTGTTGCAAAAGAGAAGACTTACCTGGAATAACAGAGTACTCTTTAAACAAACTGTGTTCTTTAAACCAAGCTAAATCAGGTCAGTTAAAAAAGGCAAAAAAAAAAATATATAATTATTGGTTATTCTTTTTAATCTGCAAGAAAATGTTTATTCTTTGTAAACCCCACAGAAAAAAAGAATGCAGCCAAGACCAAGTATTGAACGAAAATTGTGCCAAAGTAGGCAGCAAAATGGGGGAACCTCAACACAAAAAGTCAGTGACAATATTTCATGTTTTGCACAAAGATGAAAAACCTATGACATTTCTGAGTAACACTTTCATGGTGACAATTACACAAGATGATTCAAAAATGCAAATGACAGCAACATGCACACCTGGCTAAAGCTAGAAGTTTTCTCCCAAAAGAATATCTGTGATTAAAATGATGAAACTTTAATACTTCTATTGACTTGTGTGTCCTACTTCATTTTTTTTTTTTTTCAATGAGGCACCCATGCCAATTACCATGAAACTTCTCTAAAAAATCCTTTTCTTTTAAGAAGAACTTTGTCCTTCCAGAGTCCACTGCATGTTTGCAAAATCATAATCTTGGGTTTCTAATTCTGCTAATTTCCAAGACAATTTTGCTTCCCACCCTGCCAATCCCCCACCCTCAAAAACCTCTGAACCCCTTCAGAAGTCGCCAGTGCAAACACCTTCTCTCAATGTATAAGATACATTTTTAACTTCAACCTTTGTGCAATCGACGAGTTTCCTTTAAAAACTCTTTTAAAAACTCCTTGGCACGACAGCTGAAAGATAATTCAGCTCCATTTCAATTGTCAAACACAAGGTGATATTAAAGGGTAAATCACGGTTGACTAAAATAAAAAAAAAAACCCAGAACTGCAGCTTTTATTAGCCAGCTTTACAGTCTCTTGTATACAGTACATTGCACAGTTCCGCCTTCACAATAACGCTTCCTGGATTAATATTGTGCCTTCCACGATGCAGTATAATCAAGGCAAGTTACAGAACACTGCTGAGTTTATATCAAAATAAACAGAAGATGTAACCTTGGTTTATAATGAACATCCAAATTACCATGTACAATTTGCAGTAGACTCTGTAATGAGCTTGATATATAAGCTAGATGACAGTGAAGGGGGGAAAAAATAGTTTAAACTATCAAGTTTCCTCTTGAAATGTCTTTTTCCCAAGGCACTGTGAACAAGACTGTTAGCAATTCTCAATGACTAAAAACACCAATGGGAATATAAATATTTCACACAACAACCACCGTCACATCATCTATTCTCTTAATTCTTTCCCTTAAACAACGCCCCTGAAATTTGTTTGGTCCTTTGAGGGGTAATCAAATTATCTTCTGCAACATCACATATTTGTATTTAATACATCTATAAATCAAAGCTTTGTTAGATTATTTAACCCTTTCGCTGTAAAAACTAAAGGTGTCTTTCCTCACTATTTCTCAATGAATCTGTAAATTCAACTTGATCATTTAAAAAAAAAAAAAAAAAAAAGGGAAAGAAAGGGTTCAAAATCAAGCAAAGCCCTGTATTTTTTCAAGAGGAAACCATGCAAGAGTACATAAAAAGGCAAAATTGGCTACTTGAAAACCAAGAATTGTTTTTAATGCATTGGGCCAAGGAAAATAAATTGCAAAGTTCTGTGAGGTTTTCTAAAAATTTACAAGAAAAACCGATGGGTAGTTCTAGTCAATCCAGATGTTCTTTTATCCTGTTTTAAATGACAACGAATACAGTCTCACACGATACAATTTCATCTTGACTGCAAGAGACACTCCTGTGTGATGCCTTCAGCATGACAAAATTACTGGGAAAAAAAAAAAAAAAAAAAAAAAAAAAAAAAAAACAATTATACTACAGAGCACTTGTCCTTCAGCATGAAAAAATTAATGGGAAAAAAAAAAAAAAAGAAAAAAAAAAAAAGAAAATTGGCATTCATTTCTTCAGGGGCTGATAAACAGAGGCATTGGGGTCAAGTCCAGAAGGGCTGGTCTCCACAAATTTGGAAGAATAATGTGGGGAAACAGGACTCAGAGTGCTGGTGGCTGCAGTGTACGTTATGCTGGGCATTACTGCCATAACTTCTGCAATCTTCTGTTTTAGGTCCTTGATTTCCTGATCTTTTTGAATGATTTGCCCTGAAAAGAGCAAATGACATCGCTTAGACACAGCAGCATATTTTCACCCTCCACCTCCGACGTAACATCAGCCACCACATCGACACAACCTCCTGGTTTGTGGGGAGGGACTGTGTTTAATCACCTCCATTACCACGTAACACAACCAGACAGAGCACTTTAATTCCATTTTGCACTCTTTGGATTCCCAGCTGCATTGTACCAAAAGATTATTTCTATGCCTCAATTTTTTTTTCTGTGCTTTTCCGCTCCCATTTTACAAGCACCTCACAAAACCACAAGAGTTTGCTTATTAAATGGGGTATTTTTTTCCTAACCCCCCCTCTTTGCGCACACTCACAACATCCCTACGACAATTCCTGCAACTACGTAAAGAGAAACACCAAGAAAATGAAACAAACAAAAGATCTCACTCCAATCAAAGTTTCCTGCAACCAAGCAAACTTCTGCAAGGAAATTAAAGAGGTAGTAAATCAAAAGATTAATTAATTTTGCTGAACAAAGGACAGGGTTTTATACTGGCTTCGTGCTCCCTCTGGTGGCAGCAACACCTGCCCAGCACGGCCACCAGTGCCCACCAGTATGAAGCTTCAAATAGGTTGGGTTATTTCCCCCCCCCTGCATTTAGGTTGTATTTACTTCAGGAGTAATGAAGTATCATTAGGGTTCAAGGCCAGGGGGTTAACAGATGGCAGCTATTATTCTATCTTCTAGCTCTTTAAAAGAAGTTCTCCAGCTTTAAGGTAATGGTTTATAAAAATATAGGAGATAATAAGGAATTTCACGCCCATCTTGGTGTTTCCTGCCTTCAGTTCAGACTGAGATTAGGTCAGCTGTTGAGCTGGGTTGCTCAGACTCACATTCACAAAGTTCTAAAAAACAAAAGCTTGTGGAAAAGCTGAGTGGAGGCCATAGCCCAACCTTAAATAAAAAGGTATGATATTCTTTCTGTCCTATTTCCCCAGTTTCAGTTCACTACACGGTGCATTGAACCATCCCACCTTACCTTGGGCAATCTCAAGCTGCCGTTTTGCATCTCCCAACGCAGAGAACAGATCCAGCTTGATCCTGGTCTCTGCACTCAGGCTGTTCTCTAAGTGCTGTGTTTTATCCTGCATGGCTGAAAGTGCTGACATTAACACCTCCGTATCCTTCTCGTTTTCCTTGTACTTCCGCAGTTCCTGTAGGAGTAATTAGGACAAATGTTAATCTCGTCGACTTTACACATGAGATACACGCAGAAGTCTTTCTCTTCCCCACAGCACACCACTGGGTCTGGTATTAATACTGTAAAATTAAAATGATGGTTAATTAAGGACACTGTAATATTACCTCCAGTAATTACACGCAGCCATCATACAAGTGATTAAAGCCATATTGTACAATGTTTAATTTCAGCGCGGTGAGCAAGTACTATTTACTCTGCTGCTCAACCCTCTCTCATCTGTATCGAGACCCTCCACCCAGAAATGCTCCTCCCCAGCACTTCCCAGTCCCAGCCCAGCAGCCACACAGTTCCCTGCACCAAGCCCTGGAACAGCAAAACACTCCCCACAAGCAGACTGGTTAGAATGGGAACAGATCTCATGCTCGACAGTTTAAAGGGAGACTAAGCAAACACAGCATTTTAAGCTAATTTCAATGGGAAATCCCTCAATGAGAGGGATTTCTTTATCTCAGAATATTTCCCAAGTTGAACCAAACTGTGCTGCAGAGCCAGAAATTTAGAAGAGAGAAAAAGAGGGAGCTGGGAAGTATGTATTAACATTTTGACTGAGAAAAAAAGAAATACCATAAACACACAAAAAAGTTCTCTACTTTTAAACGAAGAAACAATACTACTACAGGGGAAATACTAATACTTGTAACAAAAAGCTTTTCTAAAAGTGTGAAGATACTAATAAAACTAAAGAGCTCAATTATAGCTGGGTTTTATTATTTGAAAGCCGTGCTCTTATTCTCCATAGATAAACCACACTTGTTTTCAAGGGTTTGGTAAACCCAAGAACAACAAGGCTGCATATGTTTGTTGGAAACAAGTTCAAAATAACACCAGGTGGATTTTGAAGAGTGTCTGCAAAACCACAAGACATTAAAAAATAAATATTCATGCAAATTGTCAGTTGACAGTCCGAGTACATCTTTAGGAACAGACACTTTAAAGGAATAAGGTCAACTTCAACTCACACATTTGAGCTCGTAAACTCCAACATGCCAGACACTGTGTCTGCTGTGAGTCTACCCACAAGGTACTTTCAATATTCAAGCACTTTCACAAGACAAAAAAATAAATGCCTGGCCAGTGATTGAGCCTGCATTGAGTAAGCAATCTTACTTGTGAGCAATGAAATTTATAATGACACAGACCAGCAACAAGCTCCTTGCATTAGACAACAAATGTTCTTGAGGGGATTATATTCTCAGTCTACCCAGACCATTGGTTTGGGGGAAAAAAAAAAGTAATAATTTGAAAAACTGAATGGTGTGGAGCTGAGCCTATTAACCTTTCTCATAGCCACCTTCTTACAAAGCCTGATGCAAGACATGCAAGACAGACATCTGAAGAGCATAATTCTTGAAGGTGTTGATTGCCTCTTACGCAGATCCACCAATTCCCCAGGGCTGAAAGGGCCCATTGTGCTGCTGATCTAAGTCCCTGGCGCTTTCTCATTACCTGAACTTTCATTTCTAGTTCTCGTATCTGATCTTCTTTCAGCTTTATGTCAATTGTTAGCTTCTTGCACTCTGTCTCCAGCTCTCGGATACGATTTCGTAAAGTTTCGGTACATTCTCCTCTGGAGAAAAAACATGAAAAGAGAAGAAGATGAAATAAGAATGAGGTTGTCATTCCTGAACGGTTGATAATACGAAAATTAATATCAATATTGAAGGATAAAAAGAGGAAGCTAACTTTGTTCTTTTCAGCAAGATAATTTCCCTTATGGCAACAACGCAAAAAGCTGTGGAAAGTTATTCCTCGAGTATTAGGAAATTTGGAATATTTATGAAATATGGAGAACAGAAAAGCAGAAATAATTCTTTTTAGACAGAGCATTGCAGATTAAAGCCATCCACACTTGTGCCGTGCTTTCATCTTGAAAACCCTCCCATCTATACACCTGTGTTACTACAGAAACACCAGTGCTGAGCACTGGGAGGCACTGGCTGGAGCAGAAAACTTTCAAGATGGGAGATCAAGACAGTATTTTGGCCAACATCTTTGCATGAATCCTTGATTCACAGTCCCCAGATGAAAGGGGAAGTTCCATTTTTTAAAGCAGACTGACCCATGCAGAGTACAACATCTCTTTTGGCACAATTAAGATTCAGCAGATAATTTAGAGCATTTTCATCCTTTACACCCTGGAAATGTAACGGATGTGGGTATTGGGACTCAGCCTCATGGAAGGAGATCTCCCAGTCCTCCCACTGCCTTAATGCAGATAAACCTCTTAACACAAGTGTTAGAGACTACTCTATGTACAGAATAATCATCTCCAAATCCCCCCAAAACCATATTTCAGTAGCAACAGCAACATTTCAGTCATTTTCTGGGGCTGAGCTGGCTTCTGGGGCAGAACAAAGTACCTCGTAGCAGCAGCAAATGCGACAGCACGTGCAGCAGTTGCTTCTTCCAACTTCTTTCTTTTCTTTTCTTCCATTAATTGTTTTTCTACAAAGGCTCGTGCCTCCTGCTCTGCCTTTAGTTTCTTCTCCAACTGGCTGATCATTTGCTTGTCTTTTTGTTTCATTTGTACAGCATTGTGTAATCTGGAAGGGAACGGGTACGGGATTTAATGGGGGATTTCACTTACTAAAAAAATAAATCGCTGCGAACGGTCCCAAAATGAGTCTTGCTGGATTTGCAGACAAGCGCCTCAAACTTTGCAGAGCCTCAAGAGAATATTTCCCCTTTACCAGGCTACAGTCGTCAGCAACTAATTTGGAGAAAACACCTACTTGTTCTGCAGCAGTTCGTTTTCTTGCCGGAGCTGCCCAATTTCCGACCGAATTCCCCGCTCTGTGTTGGTCAGAGAACTGATCTGACTGCGTAGCTCCTGCTCCACCTGCCTGCTCGCTTGCAGGTCCGCCTTTAATTTTTTAATATCTTGTTCCAACCTAAGAAAGACAATTTGAAAAGTCCATTTCAACTTCATTTCCCAGTCACCCAAAGGTTGGAGCACATTCTGTAAAAATAACCACAGTAATCATCATGCCATCTGCCAACCCCTTGATTCTTACAATAATAGACTCTCAGAAATAATGTCTATCCTTGTTAAATAATAATAATGTTTTATGTAACTATACATATATATATAGCTCTATATATAGCTCTAGACACACTTCATAACCTCCCACAGGAATTTTGTTTTCCTCCATGCACTGCAGAGTTGTAAAACAAATCCTATGGAATTACAGTTTTCCTCTTGGAGCAGAAGTGGAAATGGATAAAGCTGAGAAGCTGTAAACAAGGAGAGATGCACATACGAATAAATTTGACTTTTCTCAACAAATTATGAGTTTCATTTGTTACTTAGAGCTGAGCTATGGAGCATACTGCTGAATTCTCACCTAAATGTCTTTTTTTCTTGAAGTACATGATGTGCATGTTGAATGAAGAGTATGTGTTAAGTCATCCACAGTTCAGGAGTCAGTAAATTTAGTTTTAATTGCTCCTGAACAGAGACCATCTGCTAGACACTTAATTGTAGCTTTGGAAAGTTCTTGAAGACTCATGGAAGCTTATTAATTGAAAAAAAATTTCAACCAAAATTGGTTAAATAAAACACAGCCGTCCACAGAGAGGCCCCCAGCCCACCTTAATTTTTTCCCCAGGTTTTCAAAATAAGATTAATTCTTAGAATTAAAACCACATCATAGGTAAATAATCAGCCATTTTTGTGAGCACTGTTACATACTTATCTAAGAGAGGCCCCCAGCCCACCTTAATTTTTTTCCCCACGTTTTCAAAATAAAATTAATTCTTAGAATTAAACCACATCATAGGTGAATAATGAGCTGTTTTTGTGAGCACCGTTACATACTTATCCAAAGCCTCTCAGTCTTTTACACACAATCCTCATTTGCTCCATCAGTTATTGGTTTAAAAGTTTTTAAATGTTCATAAAGAACATTATGGTTAAAGATGGTTTTATTTCCTAAAGTTCCATACGGAATTAATGGTAATTGAACATTAAGACTTGGGGGAAATTGTCACAAAAGCCAAAAAGACCTGCCCTTATTGACATTCACTAGCACAGTTGAACAGTTACAGCTTCTGAAAACCCTGAGCTCTTCGGGGCTTCAAATCTCACCCTAAAACACTATGAGAGATGTAACAACAGGAGGAGTAAGAACATCCTGTGTGAATGAATCAACAGGTTAAATGTGGAATCATCAAACTTATGGAAATTCATAAAAGGAGGTCTGTAAGAGGCTAAAACTGCCCCGAAGGGCTCCACTGGGTAAATTAAGGACAAGAAAGGACATATAGAGGAGCGTGGTCTGTAACACACTCATGTAACTCAAATACTCAGATTCCAACTTTCTACAGTGATACTAAGCTGTTTTTCTAGTTATACTGCCCTACTGGTAAGAGGAATTCTGTTTAATATAGTATAAATCATGGTCAAATATACCTTTAAAAAGAAAAAAAAACCAACGCCAACTTATACTTAGTAGGTAAATAGTAATAGTACAAAGCAAATATACATTTCAGTATTGAAGACCACCAACCAGTTCAACCCCTTGTACTCTGCTGTAGAAGGAAAAGAATTTTCAAACTTAACTAAATATCCGTTCAACCATGTAACCATAACACACAAACCAAACCCAGAAACCACATCAGCAGACCCTATTAGGTGTGTATTTTCACCGTGTTCAGTGTTTTAAGTGATAGAGTTGGACAGTCCTTGGGCGATGATATAACAGTTCAATTTAACCCTCCAATAAGCAGTAACTAAGTGTTTTAGGAAGCGAAAACATTAATTGAAGAGAGTAAGATACCGTGGGAAGCACTAACAGACTGTTGTACATCAACAGCTGATTGGTTTTGATATAGATTTTCATTAATAGATGTAAAAATGGTTGGTAGGATAACGTAAAGGAACACACATAAATCACACATACTTCACACTGACAACTATCCATAAATAATTTCAACATACATCTCTAAAATAAAGCTATAACTGTGAAAATAAGCCAGCTGTAAATAGCCTTTTCCCTATAACTAAGACCATGTCAAACTTGCTCAAATAAGATATACCAGGATTTATTTTGGGTAGTTACTATTCCAGGAAAAGAAATGCTGATCAGGTAAAGCCCAAATAAATCAGAGGTGCTGGCACTGGACAAGCTGAATTTGTATTTTTGGCAAGAGAATATTGACATTAGTTCAAACTTCTTAAACCATCTGGTTCTTGGCTTTCCTGCCAGTGTCACCGGGGCTCTGTCCCTGCAGTGCTCATGGGGCTGCTCCAGGCTCTGCTGAGAAGGAAGATGAAACCTGTGTGATCTGTAGAGTCCATCCAAACGTGACCAGAAGGGACATCTGCTTTCCAAACCAGGAGGAGATACATGAAGCCGCAAGCCACAGCCTTGCTTTTTACTTATTATAGGTAAAAGCATCCAACCAGAGCTGTGTACATTCGATTTGGGGCTCAGGAAGAGTTTCACACTCACGATCCATCACACAAATCCTGCCTGAACAGAGCTGAAGCCTCACGGACGTCCCTTCAGCCTTCACTTTTCAAGCACACTCCAAGCATCAAACATTCATCCTGTCACTCCAAAGGACCACAGGGGACTTCGAGTAACTTTTACAGGAAAATGAGACCGACCTGCTGCTCACTATGACTGTCACCATAAATCACAAAGGCGTCGGGATTAAACTCAAGAGTGGGAACTATAAACCTGGTGCATTAAGACACCGAGACTCTCCCAGTCACTAACCACCACAAACCAGCTCACAGTAGGCTCAGGAGTGAGAAAGTGGCGACTTAACTGGTGTGACTTCCTCAAATCAAAGGATTCCACTCCTTCTGTGCCTCTGAATTTCTCAGACCACCATGCAGTTAAGAGTTTTTGTTCTGTTGTGAAACAATCACTCCTATGGGTACAGGTGACCAATCTTAAACAGTCAAAAGACAGAATAAGGTATGTAAAAGGTGATCATCTACAGACAGCAAGTGCTCAACGACTGCAGGGCAATTCCAAAAAGAGAATTAATCCAGAGATTGGCAGACCAAACAACTGGAAATGTAGCTGTCAATAGACTTGTTCAGAAGGAAGATTTCACAAGATTTTAATTACTCCTTTTCATGATGCTGTAGGTTTTGCTATAGCTTTAAATACCAGAGCAGACGTTTCCTGCAATTTATAGAGCAAATAAATGTTCCTTACTATCTAAAATGAGTTAGGAAGCTAATAATCCATCATAATGCAAGGACCAAATGTTTCCTATATGGCTTCTCTCCCAGACCTGCTGCAATTAGCTAGGGATACAGCTTCATTTAAAAAATAAATAAAAAGATAAAAAGAGAGACATGAAGTTAGTTTCCCCTCAAAACCACGTCCTCCTTGCACTCTCTGCTGTGTAGCAACATTCTTATCCATCTTATAAAGTCCAGTCAAACATTTTCAGCCTAAAAATTTCTTCCCGCAGAACAGCAAGTCAAAGCTTTTCTCTGTGTATATAGAGAGAGGTCATCCATCATTTTCACAGAAATACAAAGAGATGAAAACCACCCTTTCTGTTGCCCCCCTTTCGAAAATGAAAGCACACCATCAAGGTAAACCAATATAATGGCAGAAAAGAAAAGCTTCGGTGCTTCGAGCAGAGAGCAGCGCATGGAGTTTTCCCTCCTCCCCTCTGCAATAGTCTTTGCTACTGTTACAATGATAAATGACCCAATAAGACAGCACTTCTTTTTTTTTTTTCATTATTATTATTCTTTCTAGCATTTCATTTTCTGCTTAAGTCTCTTATTTCCAGGCTTATTGGAAAAAATTATTTACAAATGGGGGGGGGTGAAGAAAATTTGAGTTCCAGAAGATACTTTGCTCTATCGCTGCACAAACTACAAGTCATTTTGACACACTATTTTCAAAATAAGGGCTTAGTTGCAGATTATTACATTGTGCTGTTTATACAACCAAGGCCAATTTCTTTCGGGTTGTTATTACTACAAATGCAGATTTAGCCATTTTCTTGTCTCATCGCTACTACGTCTCATTCCTGGTCTCGCAGATGAAGAGAATTCATCAGTAATCACCTCCAAGACTGAGTATTTTTCCAAACGCTTCAGGGAAGATTGATGGATCAACTTAAAGACAATTCAATTCTGCTTAATCCTCCTAAGTATTGATAACGGGCGAATAACGTATCCTTGTTGCTTAGCTTAGTCGGTTAACGCAATTCCATAATCACCTGGCAATTGCACACAAATTAAACACAATTTATATAAAACTTAAAGACCCAGAAGGCACTCGGATGCTGTTCTGAAAGTCCCATTTTTCCCTTTGTTCTCTTCTGACCCAATCTCTTGGCAGAAGCATCCCCTGCAGTCAACCTACTTCAAAGAAGTAGCCAACGCGATCCCGCAGCATTGAAGTTCTCCTGCTGTAACTAATACGCCGTTACCAGCAGCTCCTCTGAGCATTTTTCATTACCAAGAAGACAGTAATCCACAGAGAGAAAGCAGAGTTACTTATTTTTCTCCTACACACAGAATTGATCTAAGTGGCTGGCATTTCAAAAGGTTATTCTGTTTCTGAACAGTCCGAGCACGACGATGACACCGGCTTGAAAATGGTTTGCTACTGCTAGAAGGGTCATCTCCCAGATTTCTAATTCACATTCCCAGTTCTTTTGCTTTTCTAGTCTATATTTTCCTTCACTCCCATCATACTTGCATGAAACACTGACCATTTCCCCACCGCAGCTGACAGCAGAAAGCCTTCTGCTACACTAATGCCATTTCAGGCAGGGGGGCGAAGGAGGAACCAGCAATTACTCTCAGGACATCGATGGTGCCAGAAATGTACAATAATTAGCACCAAATGGACAGAAATTTACATTAAAACCCTCAAGTCTGTCTCTGCAGGTAACGTAAAATTTTAGGAAAGCAAAATAAGATGTGGCAGACCAGCCTTTGCTTCCCAAAGATTTTTCTTGGTCCAAGTGCCAAAAGATGTCATCGTTATCTCTGAGAATAATTAGTACATAAGACAGCTTGTTTCAACACCTCGTGTGCCAAAGGCAAGACCTCTACGGATACAAACAGTTTTGCCAAGCTGCACTGCCAGGTTTTTGTGGGCTTTTTAATTTTTTTTAAGGGTGCAAATAGCTACAAGGCAGGACACGATTATTCCTCTGTAATAAGTAATATAAAAAAAACCCTCAACTTCTACAGCAACTCCAGCTTGGACTTTGTTCAATACATCGAGCCCCCGAAACGTGAAGGGGGCTCAGATCACAGAGATGCAATTATTAAGCGCTTGACAAACCCCCAGCAGATTTCAGCATCCATCAGAAGTAGATATTCTTTTCAATAGTAGGAACCAAAAAAAAAAAGAAAAACCAAGAAAAAGATGACTTCCAAGGCTGAGCAGCAGGGACAGAGCCTCTTGACTCCCCTGGCTGTGTCACGGTGACAATAACCTAACACAGTAGTCACTGAAATACCCAGAGATGGGGATCGGTAACGTCCTCTCCAGAAAACTAAACACACGTGCACTAACCATTTACCAGAGAGAACAAAACTAAAAACTTACTGTTTCAAATAAGATCAATACAGTATATATAAAAATATACATTGAAATTCATCAGCAGTGCCCTTTTGGATATAAACGTCACAACGAGTATTTAAGAGAAGAAGTCAATAAGCAATGCAAGACTGTCTTGTTCTCACAAAAACCCCAATCTTCATCTCGAATAACTCCCGTTAATCCCGAGTCCCCAGCAGGCAGAAGGCATACTTTCCATTTAATACTGGTTAGTCAGCTCAAGGAAATCATTTGTGAACACAAAAGGAAAGCAGCTTGGCTTTGACATCCTGCTGGGAGGCTGCTGGACAAGAGGTTATAAAAAGCATCTTTATTTGGAGGCTGAGCAGATCTGATCCGAGCCGAAAAGTCGGGCACAAACGTAGAACTTGCCACAGCCCTTCGCAGGGCACAGCACTGACGCAGCCTAAAAGTTTAATAAATGGGAATGAATAATCCTAATTTCACTGAATTTCACTGAATCTTTTAGAGTTGGAAGGGACCATAGAGATCATCTAGTCCAACTCCCCTGCTAAAGCAGGATTGCCTAGAGCTAGAGCATGTTACTCAGGAGCATCCAGGCGGGTCTTGAAAATCTCCAAGGAAGGGGACTCCACACCCTCCCTGGGCAGCCTGTTCCAGGGCTCTGTCACCCTCACCGTGAAGAAGTTTCTCCTCAGATTTGAGTGGAACCTCTTCTGTTCCAACTTGTGCCCGTTGCCCCTTGTCCTCTCAGTGGGAACCACTGAAAAGAGTCTGGCTCCCTCCTCCTTCAACCCTCCCTTGAGATACTTGTAGGCGTTGATAAGGTCTCCCCTCAGCCTTAATGGAAGTGGAAAAGATGAACAAGTGCCTTAAACCCCAGGGACAGGAAAACTGACAAGTTAAAAAAAACAAACAAACAACAAACACGAATTTTTAAATTTAAGCGCATTCCATCCCATCTGATTTATCAGACGAGTTTACGCTTCCATTGCTGTAGGAGTTACACACTCAGTCTGAGCATAAACTGGATTTTATGAATGATTTCAGTCATCTAGGATTGTAAGGAGCTGTACGCGGCGACACATGGGACGTTGGTGTTTGAAGAGCTCCTGGCTCGTCTGCACCGGGAAATCCGTGCACAATAAGCAGCTCCATCAATTTGTAGCACAACAGCCACATCACGCCCACGCCTCACACACAAACACTAGACAAAAGAAAGGCTGAAGGAGCTTAATTCACTTTCAAGGCAGAGTGAGGCTCCCTTGTACAAAGGCACTCTCCGAGTACAGTGATCGTTACCCTGTCCCTACCCAGTCAATTAGAGGAGCTCAAGTTCTGGAAGGGCACCCTCTAGTTCATTGTGTACTCATTTCTGCGTTAGAAAACCCATTTTGGACAATTGCAATGACCACCTGGTCTGAACTCACATCCCAGCATATAAAAATGTCAATGGGTCATTTGAAACTTAAAACACAAGAGGTTTAAATCGCATGCCTTGTCATAGCTACAGGGGACAAAATCCTCAGCCTGCCAGGCCATTCTACAAAGTGCTTCCTTCCTCTTTGCTCAGGATTTACAAACCACATTCTGAACTGCAGCAAAGCTGAACTGACCTGCTCTCTTCTCCAGCAAGCAAAGCAGCAACATAAAGAGTAGGGAGATGCCCATCTGAAACTGGAACATACAAATACTGCAGTCCTATACATGCTCATTTAGATGCAGCCTTGCTGAGGACAGAGCCATCTGCATCCCATTAATCTTGGCTGCATTTGATTCACAGATTAAATTGATTAGCTGCTTTCTTATTTGCTTCGTACAAGTTCTCTGCAGACATGAGGTATCAATTAGTCTGGATATTTAATTGGCAGAGGTAGGCCAATCAGTGGCAGAGCGATTATCGGAGGAGAAAATAATATTTGCATTGAAGTAATTGTATTCTCAAAGCACAAATCCTCAGGGACAAACCGGAGTGAAAAGTCCAATTATCAAAAGGTACCTGCAGAGAAAGCCAACCTGACCTGCCAATTAGGTTAGTCAACGAGGATTTGTTGGCCAAAGAGAGTTCAGAACATGAGAAAAGGAAAAAAGAGAGACATAAGCCAGGAATGGCAGGAAAGTGCATAATTGCACAATGATTTTTTTCTAGGTGTATCTCTATCCCCATTTTGAACAATTACGCACTATTTTTCTTCCAAGTACCTGCTTTGGTAACTCACAACAACACCGTGTGTCTCAGGACTCAGATGCTCTAAGTACTTAGCTGCATTTCATAGATCTATCTTAAACTTCAGATAAGAAGTACTTAGCTGCATTTCATAGATCTATCTTGATTTAAACTTCAGATAAGCATAGGTAAAGGTGTGACTTTCAATCGTTATCATTGACAAGGCAGCTAAACGAAATCCCTGAGATCTGTCCTTAAGCAGCAGGTATGCAAGTAAACGAAATCCCTGAGATCTGTCCTTAAGCCATTAAGGCAGCAGGTATGCAAACAGGAATCTGAATTCAGCACTTCAGGGGTTATGTAGTAGCTGATACTTGGCATCTACACTTGTCAACTGAAGATTAAAACAAAAGCTGAACATTTCAGGGGAAAAAGAACCCAACCAAACCAACCAAAACCAAAAAATTAAGACAAAACACCTGTTCAGGCACCATCAAACCCCACTGAATTCCCTGGAGACGTAAAGGTCACCCCATGGAAGATTTGTCAAGAGCACATCCACTGAGGTCTGTGATAACGACTCTCCACATTTCCCTCATGCCTTCGATCAAATGATCATCAAAGCTATTTATTCTGCCTCACAACACCCCTGTGAGGTAGGGAAGCATCATATTCTGAGGTAGAAAGGAAGACATTTGCTCAAGGCTGCAGAGCACATCAGAGGCAAAAATCAGGAAGAGAACCCAAAAGGCAGAACTCCCAGTTTTCTTATCCCATTACCAGACAATTGTGTCTTCTTTATGGGATTGTTACATTTCCCTAAGAAAAAAAATAATAAATCTGACGGAGCGGAACGAAGGGAGGATACGAGAGGCTGCTACACGATGCTCAGATCAAACTTACCTTACCAGTGCGTCTGGTTTGCTCAGCTGGTTATTAGGAATACAATTTTCCATTAAGTCCTTGTGTGTGCTCGGGCTCTTGCTCGCACACTTCTGTTTTTTCTCATTTTTAGTGGATGAGGAAGGGATGCTCCCGTTGGTCGCACTGTGACTGCGAGGCGAGGAGTTCACAACTCCGCTGACGTTTTTGTAATTTTTGGACGAGGCAGTGCATGAGTCCTCTTTTAAGAGGTTTTCTGTACTTCCTACAAGATCATTATTTAATCTTTTACTATTGATATGGTTTTCCATATATTCAATTTCTTGTATTTTAGAGTCTACAGGTTGCAAAATATTGTTATTTATTCCAAGGTTGTGTTTCTTAGCATCCTTGTCCTTTTCTTTCCCTTTTTCTCTATATTCTAGCTCTGGCAACGTTGCAGTTATTTTTTTATTGGCTGGAATGCCTCCATTGTGCTGCAAAAGTATTGAGGAATCCATATCAGATAATCCTTTGGCTGCTGCAATACCAAAATGAAAAAAAAATAATAAATACTTAGTTCATTAAATCAATCGATACCGTGACATACAAAGAAAAATCATTGACTACACATCAATCTTCTCTGCAGAAAATAATCACTATTAGAGTCTATCTAGAAAAGGAAATCAGAAGTCACATGATATTTTAAGACTTCTCTCTCATTACAGGCAGGAAATGGTAACCAAGGGATTTAATAATAAATACTAGTGCCTCATAGAGCGCTACCCACTGCCCGGATTGATGCAGTTGCTAATAAAGAACTAAACAGAGAGGACATAATTCATTTCTACTGTCACTGCCAAAAGAATTTTAATTCTGGCTCCTCTGAGTTCACTGTTCTTTCATCAAAACAACATGGACTAAAGAAGCTCCTCCTTAGCAGGCTTTTTTTTTTTTTTTTAACAGCAGATAATAGCAAACACATTAAGTAATAAGTATAACTTGCCTTCCTCTGCCTCCCTCTCTTGCCTTTGGAGCATCTGCTGCTCTGGGGGCAGAGCCTGCTGGAGGAGCTGCATGTAGAATTCGTTCTCTTTCTGCACTTCTTTTTGTTTTCTTAAACGCATTTTGTAGCTGACGTAACTTTTAAAGCCAAAGCCCAAAGTGGCGACAGGGTAGCCAATACTAAGAAAAACAAACAAAAAAAAGCAACATTATTATTCAAAACGTAATCATGATAGCAAATCCATAACTTGTAATCAATTATATAGCTGTGAATACATCTGGATTACAACTTTTCAGAGAAAATTACATATAAATCATTTTTTTGCTGTACTACAATAAAGCTCCAGTTCAACAACGTAGGCACTTCTTTATCAAGATAAAATTACAGTTCATTACAGACAGCAATTAACTGTAGCATAGATTAAAGGATTACGACAATGCAATTGCACTATGCATAGCAGAGACAGCTTTTAGACAAGCACCAGACTAGGAATTAGGCATCTTTTAAGGAGATAACAGCCAAATGCACCAGAAATTCCCAAGTTTTGCTCCTGAAGGGCCATGTAAAACACACACAAGATGTTAAGATGGGAGATGTGCTGACAACATCCAGAACAGTGAAAGGAGAAACTGATCCTCAGCCTCAGCCCCATCCCTTTGCAGTCAGAAACTGAGAGCAGATCCCTTTTTCACTGAGATGTGCTGACAACATCCAGAACAGTGAAGGGAGAAACTGATCCTCAGCCCCATCCCTTTGCAGTCAGAAATTGAGAGCAAATCCCTTTTCCACCGCTCTTTAAATAAAGCAGAGACAAAAGAAGGGTTCTCCAAAACGCCGCCTCTGCAACAGGCCCCGTGACACCGTCGCTGCAGCTCAGGCTGGGAAACCAGAGCTGGAGAAGGCACTGGGACAGACACATGTTGGGGCTCCTGCACCTCTGGGGGTGGCCAAGGATGTCCCCTGCTGCTGGCACAGCCACAACTGACCCCCCAGGTAAAGCCTCAGTAACCACCCGCCTCTGACGAGGATGGTCACAATTAAGCACATCTTTTCAGGGCAACAAACAGCCTTTGGAAACTCCTCCTTTAGGAGCCTGACCTTGAAGCTGCAAGCCAAAAACATCTAATCTCTAAACTTGGTTCTTCCACTTATCTCCCTGAGAGATAAGATACGAAGAATTTCACTTCCAGCCAGACTCTGCTGTGCCATTTGTTGACGGGGATGACAGAAGCATAACAGAACTTTGGAATATTTTATTTTTTTTGTTGCCTATCAGCTTCATCACGCAGAATTTAAATATTCTTATTAGCTTGTGACAACTGCACCAATACAGAATGCAAACGAGTCAGGCTGGGGTATTGATTAACAAGGATACTCGATCAATAAGCAAACAGTCCTCTACAAAAATAAATATATCTTTGGCAAATATTTTAACAAAGTGCAGCGAAGTTGCATTTTAAACACCGAAGGTGTCCCAGATCAAGGGAAAACTCGGTTGCAGACAACTATTAACCATTAAAACCTTCTCATTCTTTGCTCAGTAACAGCGCTGGGCAAATTGCATCTCTAAGTAAGCTGCCAGAATGCACGAATCATTTGCATATGCATCTGACATTATCTCTGCCAATGCTGCTTTTGTAACGCTGCGTAAAGCCAGCTGGAGCTACAGCTCCAAAACTCTGATGACAAGCTGAAATATTTGCATCCAATTCAGCAGCAGAAAGACCTTTCTTCACAGCTCCTAAAGTGCTTTTGTAACCCATTATAAAATTTAATTAGCGTTTAAGGGATTTATTGCGCAACGTAGACAATATAAATTAAAATGACAGATGTCTAATTTATCGGAGATGGTATCACAGGGAGCTAGACCAAATGACTCCAGGAAAAATAAGACATATTTTACATGCAGCCTGATCAATGCATCATACACTAAAAACTTGCAGAATAAAAGTGCATTTCGTCCAGATACGGATACTCTGCAGTTCAGTCTTTTGCCTAAAATCACTCTTAACCCTTCCAAAGAAGTAGTGTAACAAGTAGTGCTTGGTTTTTATTTTCTGTCACAATTTTCAACCTCAAGCTTATTTACTTCCTCTGGTGAACTATGAACTCAGATGCTCATGAGAACCCTTCTCATTGGAGAGGAACAGAGAAGAGTTCTTTGTTAGAGAAAAAGAAGAACATTTTTGTAATGGGATAAATAAATTATCGGTGAAACTGGTTTTTTTGCTACTTTTACCTTCTACTTGTTATGTAAACTGGTGACAAGACCTTTCAAGAAATGGTAGGAATATCCATGCTATGGATTCCCTGCAGCTCACGAGCACTGTTACCTTCAGAAAAGGTTGCACTTGATTAATGTTTACCATATGTTTCTCCTGGAATATTTAATGACCGATGAGCGAGGGCAGAAATGAAGAGCCAAAACCCTGAACCAAAATAAAAAGCCCTGAAGAGTAATTGTCCTGGTGAAATAAAGGTTAATAAGAAAAGATGTAAAAAAACCCCACTTACCAGTGTGCTGCAAATGGGCGACAAAGGTCGACGTGGAAGTTTTTTAAATCTTTAAATCTAATGGCTGCTTCAATATAAACAAAAAGTATCCACAGTGATACTGTTGGTAAGCACACCCCCCTCTCTATGGAGAGAAGAGAAAAAGAAACACCTTAGTAACATATCACAAGCAGCAAATATTTTAGAGTTATTTTTCAAACATTCAAAAAGTCAAGGGAACTTTTCAGACAGACTTATAAGGAATTGTAAGAGGGTTTCTTGAGAATGAAGTATCTAAGATGTCTTTGCTTTAAACCTACTCTGAACTTTCCGGTCCTTATCTTGCTTTATTACTTTTATAAGGCATCAGTGAAAAATAACAGATGCAGAGCTCATGAAATAGCTTGGCACAAAACCCTAGAGAAAGAACACAAATGGAAGAAACTGCAGAAGATGAGGTAATGGTACAGCTTATGATCTTTGAGTCAGAAGTGGTAGCTGGGACTACTTTTTCACTCCAAGTTGGGTATATCTCAGCAGCAGCAGCAGGGAGCAAATCAGCTGAGGAGAGAGCAGTGAGTAAGCAGAGGGCTGAGTACTCCATATACAGTAACGCAGACAACAGGCTGCAACTCAGAACTCCACACCAGGGAAGGGTGAGGACGCTGCACTGATTTCTCTCCAGCACCACTGGGGAGAACCTAAAACAGTAGAAATTAAGACTAAGGTCTTAATGCTCTCGGCCAACGGAAAACACCACTGTTGCATGCAATATAGCCACCGTAAAGTTCATGATTACATACTGACATCAACATATTGTGTGCTGATTGGGAAACAGATCTTCAGTTCAAAACTAAAAAGAGCATCACTCTGAGGCCCTGGTGTTATTTACCGGGGTCTCTACTTTGGTCTTTCTCAAACGGCTGCGCTCTGTGTAAATGAGAAAACTATAACAGAAACTGTCAGCTTAAAGGGACTCAACACTTCAGTGAGGTAGATGGACCACCTAAAAAGATCTTAACTTCCTAAAAAGAAGCCAAAAAAAGAGCAAGTTCCTATCAACTGAGACGAGCACTTAAAAAGAAGAATCCCTAAGGCCGCAGTGAATTAAATTATTAAACCAGCTCAATGGCTACAGTTAAAACTGGACCATCAGGCCCTTTAGGATTTCTAAACATCAGCTCTGAGAACAACTTCAGATAACACTTTACCATCTTAGTACAATCCTAAAAATAACTCCAGATTTTTAACATATTTTAAATTGGGCAGCAACTGGTTCACGGTATCTTCCATTAGCTCCCACATTGTCATTATTCTAAATGACTAACTTGTCAGAAAGATGACTGCTTTCACCAGTGAGCTGGGAAACAATCCGTGCTCTCCTGCAAATCCTTGTGATCTGACAGCAAGTCTAACAGGAAATATTACAAAACCCCCAAATCCCAAGGACTTGCGTCGAAAAAAGTTACCTCTTAAAAAAATAAAAATAAAAATCAAGTTTTATTCCTTTTTTCTTCTTTTTTGATGGAGGGAAAGGCTTACTTATAACTCGTGTCAAGTATCAGTGCTCACTCAAACTAAACCATCTCCCCCCAATCCAACTGCTGCCCCAAATCCCAAGGATTTATTAATGAAAAAACCCAAACAACTAAGAATTAAAAAAAAAAGGGGGGGGGCGGTTGGCAGGGAGATTTCTCCAAACGTGTCTCAAACTGTTGGGGCAGCCACTGGGATTACCAGCCTTTTTGCTCAGAAACTGAATCCAGTTGACACAAAGATTTGACTAATATGAATTTAAACTACAATAATATCCCAAATTAGCAGCACATGCATTGAGTAGTAGGAAGAACGTAACACTCTTTAACAGACTTTTCCTGTGTGCTCTGTATTCGTTGAATTGCTGCAGGAGGGTTTTGAAGTCAGGAAAATATTTCTTTTTATTACTGCTGTGGGTTTCCTGTTTATACACCTTCAGTTCCATTGGTCAAGCTTTAATGATTACTCCAAGATGCACCCAGACACGTATCAAACGCAAATCAGCATTTAAAAGAAAGCAGAAGAACATTTTTCAACCATAACTAAATTGCATTAAAACAAAAGTGGTACCAAATACAATAGGTGTTTCTGTGTGCTACTAAAAGCTGTAAAATATATATTTAAATCCTTAAGTTGTAAATAAAAAACAGGACCTACCTGTGTGCCAGACATACTGTACCCAAACATACGTGCTGGCGGCAAAAAACAGCCATTGGATTGGTATGAAGAGCAGACATATGATATTTGATGTGAATGCTACACACACAAAAAATACTGAAAAGGCCTAAAAGAAAAGAGGGGTGAGGGGAAAGAAGAGTGTTTTGGTTTAATCCGGCCAATGTTACCAGTTTATTTATAAATATTGACACCACAACAATTTCACCATAGAAACACTAGTGGTGTTTTTAATCAGGGCAGAGAGATGGCCCATGAAAGGAGAAACTCAGCCAATTAAGAGAGAATGGGTGCAACTTGAGGATTTGTGCCCATCCACTCTTCCAACAAGCCTCCAGGCAGCTGTATTTATTCCTTATCATTTTGTTTGAAGACTTTCATTTACATTGTTGACACAATATTATCATTACTATATTCTCCTTCAACCAACCAACCAGCAGCATCATTTACTCTCTGACAATAGTAAATAGCCAAAGAGGCAGGGGCTACTGTGTTATTTTAAGGAAAACCCTGTTATATACCAACCAGCAGCATCATTTACTCTCTGACAGAATAGTAAATAGCCAGGGGCTACCGTGTTATTTTAAGGAAAACCCTGTTATACAGGGATCTAAACCAATTCATTAGTCTCAGGAATTAAAACAATATCTTCTTATGATGAAAATTTGATGGCTATGTGTTTCACTTCCACTTGCCACAGATAAAATAGGCAGTCACGGAGATGAGACTTGAGGCCAGGTGTCACCTCGTCACTTGAAAATTCCTCCTCTTGTGAAAATGCTCATCAGCACCATGAAGTTAGTTGTGTGACATGGGATATGCCCTGAAACGCTGCAGGATTCCCCGACAGGGACAGTCATTTTGTGATATACTTACCAACCCCTGGTATCTGAAGGAATCGTAAACACTCCTGATGAAGAGCCAGAACGGCCACAGATACTCAAATCGGAACTCCAGGACAAAATCTGCCAGCAGTACCAGGGCCCACACCACCAGGAACTTCAGATACAGAAAAGTACTGTAAAAAAACAAAAAAAAGGTAATTTCAGGTCAGTATTTCCAATAGAGAGACTTAAGTTTTGGTTGGTTTTTTTAAATTACAAGTTCAGGAATAAAAGCTATAGACAACTATAATACAGGTAAGAAAAGTTCATGCAGAATAATTTTACAAAATAGGTAGTTTTATTATTACATTAAAATCAGACCTGGTCTAATAAAGTTAATGATACTGAACCGTGTATGTATTTAACCTAGCAAAGAAAGGGAAGGCTCACTGTTCTTACAAGACATTCAGCAACAATCTCCCTTTAGCTTTGCAGGGCATTTTTACAAAGCAAAGTCCTGCCCACAGGTACCACTCAGGGCTGAAATGCTTCTCTTCTACTTGGAGCTCAGAAATCTCTGCCTTCCCTCTCCTCAGCAGACTGCAGATGTTCACTCATTTCCCACATTTAACACAAACTGCAACACCAATAAATTGAGATATATTTTAAGCCTCTAACTATAGCAATTAGGAAGAGTGTTTTGATACTGAGTTGGCAGAGTTATATTTGAAAACATCCACATTGAAGTAAATGCATCCATGTAAAAACAACAAAAAAAACCGTAACAGAAAAATGGAGGCGCATGAGCCTTGAGACCAGACAGTCTATTTTTTTATTATTTCAAAGCCAAATTCCCTTATTCTTAGTCCTGCATTTTGGAGCACTGATGATCCTTCTTGGCTACAAAGCTCAAAATATTTTGAGATCACACCCAACTAACACAGGAGCACTCGAGGGATCAGCTCAATCCATTGTGCTAAAAAGGATGAAGGAAAAACCCTTTTTCCCCAAATTCCAGCACCCGGCGACCTACTACACCACCCCAGTTCCCCATAATGCAACTACCTTGTTTGCTGTACTGGGTTATTAGAAAGGTGGGGTTTTAAAATATACTTTAATTTTTGTAAATAAAGGGCAGTTTTTTTCCTTTTAGTAACTTATTTTTCCTCTTCTATGATACTGCCAACAAAACCAGCAGAACTTTGCCCTGGAATGTTTACTGAGAAGTTGCCAAGAGTTTGTGGACGCAGTGCCAGGTAGGGTCAAGTTTCCACAACGTTCATGGACCTGGGGCTTTTTTAGGAAGTTGTTCAGAGCTTCAGAGAAGATAGAAAATAGAAAACGTCTATGACAAGTGGTAGGTACCAGCAGAGGTTTAGAAGCAACTCAACTACTCGTCCAATTATCACTCACGATATCTGTAACACAAAGTCAAATTCCAAACCACCCAACTGGGAAAACACTTTGATTTCTCATGAATCAAAAAATTAATTGTGTGTGCCTGAAAGTGACCCTTCTGAACCACCCTGGCTCTACAGCTTCCCCTCAATGGAAGAGTTATTGCTTCTCTTTCTCATTTGCTATATGTTATCAAGCTCTCCCCTAAAAGCCCAAAGCCAAGGTTTTCACTGTGACTACTCTCCCTGTAAGGAATGGCTGCAGTGGAACTACTTACCTAAAGGCTCTCAAATGTACTCGCACAAGTTCATGCTTTAAATCAGCACAAGTGAAAGAAAAACTTCACAGAAAATAAATTTTTGAAGTCTGAGACAAATAGGCAGCTAGTCCTGCGTTTAACCCACCTTGGCTTCCTCCCACCCACTATTTGAAATATTCTGCACCTGGCGTTGAATATAATGGGACTGAAACAAAAAAAAAGAAAAGTAAATAAAGAGACTAGAGGAAGCACTTTAATTTAATGGAAACATTAAACAACACACACACTTGGAAAAGTTAAGGTACTGCTTTTACAGAACCATCCCCAGCCACTTAGTCAAAAATTACTCTTGAAAAGGAATGAAACAACAGTATAAAAATTACAAAAAAAAACCCCAAAACAACCCACAACAAAACCCACCAAAAAGCCTTAGATGGTCGTGTTTGTCCTGGTAGATTATGCGTGCATTCAGTTTATTTAAAGTTTAAATCCTCAACAGAAATCTGTAAAAAGGAGCTGCATTCAGAGACTACAGGGATATAAAAGGTGAGAGGTGTTTGGGTCCAGTCCCCATGGTTCATTTTGACCGTGGTGTTGAACTGTCTCGTGCAGGGCAGCTCCTGAGATTTAAGAAAATACCTAAAGGCATCCCACCCAGACAATCATTATGGTGCCTGTTTAGGTGGAAGAATCAGTCGTGCGGTGTAGGCGCTTTTTCCTGGGTTAAAGTTATGGCTATTGTTTATTTTTCTGCCACTGAAATCCATAAAGAGACTGCATTTTTCCCAGAAAATTAGGGTTGTCAGAACTAATGCTTTTCAACTGTAAAGTGCCACTCTAAATTAAAGCATTTGCTGAATAAGAGGTCTGTAATACAGCCATTAAAGTGATTTCTAATATTTAAATTCCTATCAATCCAAAGGCCATGACGACATTTACCAACTTTTAAAGTGGAACTGTAACAATACAACATCTGGAATAGGGTTTTCCCAGCAACATTAAAGAGCCTACTTCTCAGTCAGCTGAAGGACTCGGAAGAATTTACTAAGAACAAGACTAAGGCACAAGAAAATTATTTCCTTTTATAAAAGACTCACCCACTATGTCAGCCCCAGCAACACAGTTCACTGTTGTGTAATATATTCTATGTATCTATTCAACTGCACAGGTCCATGTGCATACATGAACTTATAGAAAATATTTTAAAGGTACTAAGGTACTATATTCCATCAACTGGTGGAAGGTTTTAGGGGGTTTGGGTTGGTTTTTTTTTTCCATCAGGACCCTCTGCTCCCCCTGAATTAAAGCATGCAGGACTGCAGAGTCAGAGACCACAGTCCATAACTAAACATGCCACCCCAGCTTTAAAAATTGATATAGACAGCAGATATCAGCTCCTCCTCGAAATGGGCTGGTTTTACAAACTGTGCTGAGCTTCCACACTGGGTTCCAAGAGGCACGAGTGCCTTTGCAGCACACTGCAGTCTGCAGGTGACAGAGGGTCTTTGGAGGAGGAAGAAAGGAACAACACAAATCTGGGCTTTCCCTTCTTCCACGAAGGTGTGTTGCACACCCAGATTTGCTGTCCTGGCAAGTACACCCTTCAGCAGTTCATTTACAAGTGCTTACTGAACAGACGCCTCTGCAGCGAAAACTTAAATTAGTGATAGCTGAAAAATGTACAGCAAAAAAATTAAACCTCAAGGAAAACCAGGCAAACGGACCTCTGGCTTTGCCAGGCGAATGGCTCTGCTGCAGGTTTGTTTTTTTCACACGACAGACTGTTCAAGAAAGATCACATGAATGAAATGACTAAGAAAATTTAGCAATAGCCCTCCTCCCTTTCCCTGCTCTGTACTACCCACTTTTACTTCATTCCTTGCTCTCCAATCCCTTGATTCCTTCCAGACACCGTCCATCCCTCCAGCACAATTCTATTGTTACCCAGTCTCTGTGTCCCCCCCCCCGGGACACGCTCATCCTCCAGCCATGGGGTGCCCCTGAGCCTCCCACACTCATTGATCCTTCTGGGCACATCCACACATTTCCCCAATTCTGACAGCGCCTGCGTCGGTGCCCTCACTTCCAGATAATATTCCCCAGGCAGAAGTGCTTTCTAACCTCTGCAGCCCTTCTATTAGAGAGGCTGAAATATGCTCCATGATGTCAATTATCATTCCGAGTTTGTTCTCAAACAGGGGAAGATTGATGCAGACGAATACCTAAAATCTGGGTTATCCAATTTCCTGACACATGTCGAAAAAAAAAAAATAAAAAAATCTGACTTCAGGGATGTGACAGAGGTTTAAGAAGGACAGTGCTTTCCCTAGAAAACTAGCATATGGTATCTAATCTTGCAGGGTGAGACAAGATGAGGGGAAGGATGGACACGTTTCTGAGCAGAGCAGGGAAGGAGCAGGAGGGAGCAGTGATTACAGTGCTGCCAGTTCTGTGAAAGGTCAATTGATTGCTAATGTATATGGAACATAAAGATTTATTCATAACCCAACAGTGGCTGTGCTCCTTCTTTGAATTTTCAAACAAATTATTTTCCTCCTTATTCTCCCCCCTGCCCAAGTGCCAGCTGCCATTTCCTTTTTTTTAAATTTTTTTTTCCCCCTCTTGTTCTTTGTTCTCTTTTTACTACCTCACAGAAACAAATATTGTCCTTGCTGTAAGGTAAAACCATTTTTCAAAAAATGGTTTAAAAAAACCCCACAATTACACACCCCAAATCCAAACTGGTAGCAAATTAAGCCTCTATTCAATCCCACTATTATCAGCAAGTCCCAAAGGCTGGGAATTGATGGCGTGTTTCATTCTGCAGCCCAACTCACACGAGACCACAGAGGGGAAGGCACCTCGAGGCTGGCAGGCAACCAACAGCAGAGGGAAGTTTTAGGAAGGTGCAGTTCACTGTGCAAGTGAAGTTACCAAAGAGCCAACAACCACCATCTCGAGGTTACCCACCCAATGTCAGACCCGACACTGAGGAGGCTGATTGAGCATCACTGGAGATTTTCAATTAAAAAAGCTTGATATATGTAAACACACAAACAAAGGGCAACGGAGCTGGTGAGGGGTCTGGAGCACAAGTCTTATGAGAAGTGGCTGAGGGAGCTGGGGGTGTTCAGCCTGGAGAAGAGGGGGCTGAGGGGAGACCTCCTCACTCTCTACAACTCCCTGAAAGGAGGGTGTAGCCAGGGGGGGTCGGTCTCTTCTCCCAAGGAACAGGCCATGGGACAAGTGGAAATGGCCTCAAGTTGCACCAGGGGAGGTTCAGATTGGATATTAGGAAAAATTTTAACATGAAAAGGGTTATGAAGCCTTGAAATGAGCTGTCCAGGGAAGTGGTTGAGGCACCATCCCTGGAGGTATTTAAAAGACAAGGAGACATAGTGCTTAGAGACATGGCCTAAAGATGAGTTTTATCAGAGTTAGGTTGATGGTTGGACTCGATGATCTGAAAGGTCCCTTCCAACCTGGACAATTATATATATACACTTATATAGAACCATATATGTCAGAGTATTACTAGTGGGCAAAAAAAGGTAGTACAGAAAGAGCACAGAGAGCAAACACGCCTGCTGGGATGTGCTCTGCACATTGGAAACTGTTATGTGAAATACTTGCCAACTAAATTTTTGAAAAGGAAGAGAAATGGAAAGAATGCCAGGAAACCTCCCTGACTCCTTATTCACTGTCTTGATATGGCATAGAATATATCCAATCACCCAACTATGGACACGTAAGTAAAGGAAGATAAAATAGAAAACTCTTACAAGTAATTCTGGAAGCGAGTGTAATAACCTGCTGAACCACAGGCGTATAATCAGCAATCAGTATTGTAGTACCAGACAAGAGACACTTTCAGCCCACGGTGGTAACTCAGCTGAAAACACCCCCCAGTCCAGAACACATAAAATAAAGCGAGAGGAATCGCAGTGTGTAGAGAATGAAAGTCACAGGCAGAGGGAAGCAATATTACATGTACCATTGGGGTTGACACAGTAGAACACATTTAAATGTAAGCTAAATTAGATTTGAGACCTGAATTTAAGTTAAAGTCATAAAAGGTAGCGCTGCTGGTTTGTTACAGACCTCCAGGGCAAGCTGAGAAGAAAATGTTTTTCCCCATATAGGAAGCTTATAAAAAAAAGTGCCAGAATAAATCAGTAGGAAGAATCATTATGGATTGAAAAAAAAAAAAAAAAAAAGGGAAAAAAAAAAAAAAGGAAAAGGCTAAAAAAAGGCCACATTCCTAGAGATAGTAATGAACTGCTTTTGCTTGCAGTTTATTTGGCTGTCAGCAGAGTCAAAAATCAAGTCCTTGGAAAGAAGCCATATCAGAAGTTGGGTGGCAGAGACACCCATGGGAGGATCTGAGCAAAGGGATCCCAGTATCAAGAACCGCTGCCCGGTACGAGATGCCCGGGGCAGGGATGGCCTTTGTGCCATCACGGGTATCTCAGGAACCACTGGGAGATTAGAGACACAGACACATCCCCCGGGCACTCGCTTGGCTGCCAGCCCAGGTGCTGCCTCTGATAAAAGGCGATATATATATATATATAGGGCTAAAAAAACCCAGCCTAGTACTAAAGGAACACACAAAGGGCCACTGTCGGGGAATCCACCACCCGTAGCACAAGTCAGCTGATGTGGAAATTAAGCCAACAACATCTGGAATTCATCTCGAAACGTAACCAGCTACAAAATTGGTAGCGAGTGCCAATATGACTCAGTAGAGCCAAAACAAGCAGTATCAGCAATAAAGCTGAAGGATTTTTTAAATAGATCAAGGATGAAGACTGGGAAGACTTAGAAACAAGCAGTAACAAGTAAACTTTAATTGCTTAACTGATGACAAGCTGCAATGAATACTTTAATTAACGATTAAGGTTTTAATGCATGCAGGGTGTCAAAGGTGTAAGATGTTAATCACTCAAGCATCGTACAACAATGGCAACGGGTAGCTTCAAAAGTGAAAAGGCAGTTTTGAACATACACTGTGGAAATAACACGAGATCTCACCATTCCTGCAATTAGTTTGTTGGTTTTGGAGATCTGTTGAAAGCACTGTCGTGTTTTAATTGTAATAATGTTCTTCCCACAGATTCTGTAATACTCCTAAATAACACGAGTCTTTATCCTGCTTGTATACCATTCGAGATTGGGATTTACCAGGGGTTTTCAGGTGGCAATATTCCCTTCAAGCTGTGACACTGCACCAAGGCATCCTTGGCAGAACTCAGGAGCGCTTATACACAGCCTGGGGGGGGGCTGCCAGCTGTAGATGGGGAGGAAAACCAAACTGAAAGGGGAAAAATAAAAAAGGAGGAAAAAAGGCAGAAAGCAGAACAAAGGGAAAACAAGAGAATGGAAAAAGCAGTTTAAAGAGAAGAGCTGGGAGGGCAGCTGTTGCAAATTCGGTGGGGAAAGAGGTGTTGGAGGGGAAGATTGGTGAGGAAGAACTTTGGAAGTGTTTATGAAGGGCTGAGGCCAAACAGCCCATTTAATTTAGGTAGTGAACATTGGGGAAAGTACTTTAAAGAACTACAGCTGTAAAATTTCAGATAAGAAAGGTTGTAAGCTCTTAGATAGACTTGTTGAAAAGGATACTGCAGAAGTTGGCAAAAAGAAAAACATTCAGGAAGACAGAATATTCACATTTTTCAATGCAAGTCAGGATTCTACATTTCTAACTCTCTTCTGTGACTAGAAATTATTCTTCTATTACTTCTTATAACCTGCTTCAGATTTACACATGTAGAGAATCCTGCCCCCAGAGTATTACTTCAGGACAAATCTTTTATTGCTTCACCTGCTCCAAAACTCCTCAGCTTTGTGGTTCCCCACTAGGCTCATGTGCATCTCCCAGTGAGAGCTGTGCCCAGCTCGGTACTGAGCTACTGGAGAGGGACCAAGGGCAGGAAGATTGATCTTAATTCAAAAAGCAAACAAAAATCCTACAAGAGTTAAGCACCCCAATCACCCTGGCTGCTTTGTTTATAACACTGTGATGCTACCTCCTGATAACCGTATTTACTGGGTTTGTGGAAGCTGATGGTGACAATTAAGATAAGCTGAGTAAATAACTATAGTTATCCCAAGAATTTAGAAATCTATAGTTAGATGGGAAACTACCTTCTCATATGAAAAAGGAGAAGAAGAAGAGTAAGTAAAAAAAAAAAAAAAACAACTGAAAGAGCCATAATCCATGTAGAAGTACCTCTCTTGGGTTAGTTTTTGAAAGAGACAAGCCTTCACACTAGTTTCTCTTTTCTTTCTGTGGGACAATACTTTGAAGTCTCTGACTACTTCTGTTTATCGAAATGCCATGTGAAAAACAAGATAAAAATCCCATTTCTGAACTAAAGCATTCCAGGAGAAGTTAGTACAAGAAGACAGATGTCTCTATTAGCTATACACACAACTAGTGCAGCTCTATATGCTGAACACACTCATCCTGGGGTGTTCTCATCTCCTTTTGGTTTTCCCTCCTGCTCTCACCACACTTTTCCAGCCAGTCACCACACAAAGATAACGGAGAGTATATGATTTTGAATGACTTTGGAAAAACTCAATAATTATCTAAGGAATTGCTTACATTTGAATTATTTTCCTAAGACTAGTCATCTTAAATATTAACTTCTAAGAAATAGATGGTTTTTCTTTAACACTCCAAACACCATCTTCTCAAAACCTGGGAATCTAAAGCAACAAGATGCCCTCTACGCTCCCGTGGAGATTTGCTACAAGAAAGGATAAAGCAGTCCATCGTGACAATTTTCTCCCAGTCAGAGCTCACTACGAACTGTTTCCCTCACACAGAGCTCACATCTGCACTGTGCAAGTTTGCTCGAGTTTCCAGCCGCTGCATATATAAACCACAACCGAACTAGAAACAGAAATGGGACATAATGCTCACTGTAACTTTCCAAAGCCAGCTTTCCAGCCTCTACTGAAACAAACTCTTCTTCATTCAGGAATACATAATTATTGTAGTTCACATAAAACTTGGCATACTTAGATACTCAGCAAGGCAGAGCTGTAAAATCCTCTTTAAAATACGCTCACAACAAGCAGATGCTTCGGAGCCTGCATTTTTGGTGTGTTCTGCACATAAACACCTGGAAAGCATGCTTTTATTCCGAGACAGTGGTGAGCTACATCCCGTGCCCGAGATGGTGAATCTCATTTCACTACGGTTCCCCTTCTCGTTCTGCAGGTCGGAGAGGAGCCAGACACCCACCGTGTTCCCACCACAAGGCCATCCATCCCTGCTCCAGGTGTTCCCCACACGTTTTCTCCCTCACATCCCTCCCTGTTGCCCCCCATCCCTCTCTCCCACATCCCTCCCTGTTGCCCCCCATCCCTCTCTCCCGCTTCCCCTTTGGAGGCCACAAGAGACACCTTTCCCCACCACGCGAAAACCGGGTTGGGGGGAGGCAGCCCCGCCTGCCCTTGGCGAACCTTTAGGTGTGAAAGGTGGGGAACCACCCGCCCCCCGAAAAATGGGGGTAGTGGGGGTGGGAAGGGGGGACACAGGGCAGGGAGGCCTCCCCCCCGCCGGTTCCTCCCGGCAGCAGCGCTGACAGGACCTTGGCCAGCAGCTCCCCCCCTACCGAGGCCCCGGCCCCGAGGCCCGGCGAAGGGGTCGGTGCGGCCTAGCGGCGGCGAGACCAGGCGGCGGGGCGGGGCAGCGCCTGAGGGGACACGGGCCGCCATGTCGCGGCCCCACTGACGGTGGGGGGGGGAGGCGGGAACCCGCTGAGGGAACGCTGTGGGGGGGAAGGTGGGACGCGGGGAGCGGGGCGGCGGCGCGTTCCCCTCAACACCCCCCCCTTCCCACTCCCCGCCGGCCATTTCCCGCTCGGTACCTGCCGTAGATGCCCTCGGTGATGCGGTTCCGCTTGAGCGGCCGCCGCAGTTTGCTGCAGTCCGCGCTCCGCCGCTTCATCCTCCCGGCCGCCTCCGCTCCGGCCCTACCCGGCCTGGCCCCGCGCTGCCCCGGCCCGGCTCCACTCACGGCAGCACCATCCGCCCCCGCGGGAGGTTCCCTCGCGCGGGGCTTTTTTTTTAATTATTTTGAGGGGGATAATTTTTTTTTTTTTTTTTCCCCGGGAAACAAAGAAATAAAAATAATTCCTGGTCCGTCCCTCCCCGCCGCGTCCCCCCGCGCAGCCGCCGCGCAACGCCCCGCCTTCCCCGGCGCGGCCCAATCAAGCGGTTGATCCGACCTGAATGACGGCGCCTTCGGCCAATCGGCAGCGGGGAAAGGCAGACGGACGGCCGCAAAGGCCTATCGCTGCATCAGAAAGTTGGTCCCGCCCCGCGCTGCGGGATGGCCCGCCCACGCTCTTGATTGACGGCCAGAAGAACCCGTCACAGGGAAGGATTCGTGAATTGATGGCTTGTGAGCTAATCACTGTTCTTCTCCCGCCCACTGTCCTTCTGGGCTGGCTCCCGCCCCGCGTTGTGATGGACAGCTAGATTGCCCAATGGAACAGGCCAAGAGAAATAAAAGGACAGCTCAGCTATCCACTCGGAAACGGAAGAAGGAGGGCTCAATTTCCTCTGTCACCGTAGCGCTCCGGTACCGCCCCTCACGCTTGATTGACAACCTCGCCGACAAATAGCGTGTTGGAAAAGAGAAAGCTCAGTCTCCAGGTGCAAAGGTAGCAGGAGGCGACTCGTCGCGCCTTGTGCCCCCCCCCCACAGCGCGGCCCTATGGCGATTGCTCCCCCGAGGGGGGTAAAAAAACCCCCTCAGCGTGACTGACGGACTCCTCCAGCCAATAAAGGGCCCATACAGCTGAGTGACAAGCGATCCGCCCAATCGCGGGGCAGGAAGCGGAGGGGAGGCGGGGCGACTCGGCCTCTCTCTCCCCGATCGGCCCAAAGACGGACACTGGCTGGAGATGGGCCAATTAGAGGCCGTGAGGGAAGCCAGCCTTCGGCCAATGGAAGGCTAGTCCCTAAGGGAGACCTGCTGGGAGGGGAGGGCGTTCAGCCAATGGGAGACGAGGGGCGGGGAGAGGCGGTCCCGCCGCCGCCACCGCCGCCCGGGGCTGCCTAGTCACGGCCGGGCACCGCCCCCTCCCGGTGGGGCCGCGGGTTCGAGGCCCGGGGCCGCGCTTTTGGGCCTCGTCACCTGGATAGCCGCTCGCCCCAATGGCCTGTAACCCCTTTTGGACTGTAGAAGCCGTGAGGAAACCAATGGTGGCCCCCGAGCCTGAGGGGAAGCCGCCAAGGCAGCCTGCCCGGCCCCGGCCCTGCTGCTCGCCCTTTGGCTGACTGGAGGGTGGTGGGGGCCGGGGGAGGCCGCACCTCTCCGTGATCCCTTGGCTTCTCCGGCCTCGCCCGGGGCCAGGATGGGTGCCACGGGCCTGCCTTGCCTCTCAGGGGGATAACGGGCCTCCCCGAGCAGGGGTCACCCCGAGCCTGAGGAGTCTGGGTGCCAGTATGCCCTTAAAATGGGCACAGAGGCTCATGGTCCCCTTGGCTGGGTTGATGGGGCTGTTTGGCTGGTAGCAGAGCTCTAATTTGAAAGTTTGGGAGGGAGTTTAAGCTGGAAGTCCGAGCATCAGTTGCTTAGTGTGGCATGTCATCCTGAGGGCAAAGCCCAGGTAAATTCCTAGCCTTTGGTGTGCTTCCCCTGGCTGTTAATGCCAACAGGGTATTTGGTAATGAGTGTCAAAAGGATTGCGTTCATTTGACCAGGGAAAAATGGTGGAGAGAGTTCTGGGCCATTGTTACCCTGACTATGAGTCCTAAAGGTTTGTCTTGCAGGAAACAGATGAAGGTTAATTAGATATATTGCATTTATAAACCACACAAAGGCTCTGCATCAGTTAGCTAAATCAATTTCTAAGTTGCTGTTTTAGCTGTTACCTTTTTCTTGTCTAGAGAAAGTTCACCAGGTGTTCTGGTTCTGGCTGAATTACCCTCATGATCACAGAATTCCCGTGAGAAGGAGCTGAATGTAGATCTTTCTGAAGTCAGGGCAGCACTCTGCACGTCTGGGAAAGTCCTTTGAATGTTATTTAGGAGTTTGGGCAATGAGGGTAAGGATGTTTAACTTGCTGTTTTATTAGGCCTAAGTAAACCTGGCAAAGCAATTTGATAACTGCATGTGAGGAAGGTGCAATTTATCACCACAAATGCAAACCTTTCACAGGTGGCTTGAAAACTACTGTTGTGCCATGTAGCCTGGGTTTGCAGGAGCAATGTCCTAAAAGATAAGTGAACAAATTTTTCTGCATATGATACATATTTCTGTCACCAGTAGGTGGCTTTCTACCCATTTCTATGCATTGTTACTACCTCAAACCCTGGCATGCAGGCACAGCACTCAGTTTGAAACGGCCTGAAAGTTGAAAGTCTGAGGCATAATTACAGTACTTTAATCTCCTGGACTGCCTGAACAAAGAAGGGCTCAGTTTACATCTCAGGGAATATTGAGAATGTAGTAATGTTCATGTTAAGGATTCATAAATTGTCCTCAACAACCATATAATCTTATCTAAGAAGTTATGATGCCTGTGCATAGGAATACACTGAACTTCTACCATATATTCTAGTATTAGTTTCCACCATGTAGTCCTGCTCCTGTGCCCAAAATGCTCACTTTCATGGTTCCTACTTTAAAAAAAAAAACCATCAATAAAAACCCCTTGTGCCTTATCAAAAGGCTCTGAACCCATAAGGCCTCATGGAAAGAACCAGGGGGGTGTAGGTCTGTGGTTTGGTTCTCAATTAAAAGCCTGCAGCTTCCAGGCCTGGAGATTACCAGGTTTTTCAGAGAGCTCACTGTACCTGTTTCCGTAGCCGTACTGTGAGCAATGGACTGACCTCACAAGTAGCATGGGAAATGCTGCATCGCCTCTGTGTGTCCAGAGATTCCTGGTTCTCTGGCGTTGGGTTGGGTTCATCACGTAGTGAGAAGGTTTGTCGTGGGACACGGGTGTAGAGCTGTTGCCTAACCAGCCTGAGGGTCGCATTGAGAATCTCAACGGGCTTGAGATTCCCCAGCTTTTACAAGAAAAGACTTGGGTCTAGGGAGGATAAGAGCAATGCAAATAAATAATGGTTTTGCATAAACTTCAACGTCCTACTTTTAGGAATCCCTGTTGTTCTTTACTTGCCATTTAGTTGATGTACCAGGCTCAACAGCAGCTGCATGGATGGGATCCTGGAGCATTACACTATTGACAGCTTGATATGTCAACGTTCATGAGTATTTTTGGAGTTCAGTCCATGTCAGTTGTGGTACGTTTGGGCTCCTGACATGGCACCGATAAGGAACTGTTCCTTGCTGACGCGTCTTGGGCTTTTTATCTGCCTGAGTTTTTATTCCTGCCCCCCAACACCTCCTTTTCTGTTGGCTTGAGGTCACTGGAACGTTTTTATAGAAAAAAAGTATTAATGTGTTTGTGCTTAATGTAGCCTAGTGCACGATGTCTTCTCACTACCGCAACTTCCGAAACAACGTGCCGTGGCTGATCTTTTTTCTGGAAGCTGTTTTCATTGTTCTTTTTTACTTTTTGTTCTCAGGTAATGATGCAAACGAATCACTCATCTCCTACCCAGGTAAGATTGGCAGCCTTGCTGTGAAAGGAAGGGTTAATGCGTGCTTTTATTTTGCAGTGCAGTAGAGATGGGATTCAGCAATGTTGTGTATTTGTTAGGGAGAAGCAGAAATGTTTCACAAGAAAGAAGTGAAAGAAGACATAAGTAGTACTAAATTGCGTTGCTGGTCTGTTCTCTGCTGCTTATTTGTGCTAATCTTGACTCTTCTGAAGGTCACAAACTTTTGAGGGCAGGCTCTCTGTAAAGTGCTGAACTCTGTGAGGTCTTGGCATGTGAAGATGTTGTGCTAAAAAGTAAGAATTCAGGATGGCAGTATTTTCCATTTGAAGGCTTGATGTAAATTTAAGTTAATACGGTGGAATTAAGGGTTTAAATATATTCTGGAGGTGGATTTTGTGCATTGATCAAAGGAATACATTAGCAGGTTATGCTACGGCCATAGTGGGCAACGTATTTCCAGTGTGGTGCAAATATGAGCTGATAAATCCTCATGACATTCTTGTGTTACCCTCCCTATTTTATAGCTCAAAAAATGAGATCTATTTATTGGCAGTTTGATATTTTGCTGTGTGTAGAGGCCAGCACAACCGTATGAGAATATGACTGTTAGCATGTCCCAGGGATTGATTCCAGCCCTAGAGATCCAAGAGATTTTATCTTGGACAGCCTCTACCTTTTCTGAAATGGGGCTGGAAACCATATTAAACTACTTCTGCCGCTATTTCTGTTCCTTCTCCCCAGATGAGGACATCATACAGGTTTCTCTTTGTAACTCATTTCTTCCCTAATACCTTTAAGGAATGAATCAGCACTAATTCACAGTAACTCCTCCTGAAAAGTCCAACTTGAGCTCTTTAAATTCATCTCAGGAAAAATGAATGTCCAAATTCCATTGCTAAACGTACTTTATTTCCGTCCTGCTTTTTGACCACTGAACCCTCATCCCATGGCATCCATTCTGATCACGTTGTAAAATTAAATTCAGGGTCAAGAGTGTTGTTTTTCTGACTACTTACAAGCTCTGGAATTCTTTACAAGTACTAAATAATAATGGCACCTGAATTTTTATCTGAACTCTCCTTAGTTAATTGCGATATTTTTAAATTTATTTTTAAATAATAATGGCACCTGAATTTTTATCTGAAGTCTCCTTAGTTAATTGTGATATTTTTAAAATTTATTTTTTAACCAGAAATCCAGTCTGCGTTAATAACGTCACTGCTGTCTTGGTCTTTTCTGTCATGCAGCTTTTCAAGATGTCAACCACATGGTACTTTTTGGATTTGGCTTTTTCCTGACATTTCTGAAAAGATACGGGTTTAGCAGCACTGGATTCAACCTCCTGATCATTGTACTTGGTGTCCAATGCTCCGCTCTGGTGGAAGGTTTATTGGATTTACTTTATGAAATGCCCCAGGAACATGGTATGACAAGGTAATTAGTTTGTGTTAGAATTGGAATAATTTAGAACTGCTGATTGCTCTTTGTGGAGATGAATGCCCTGTTATATGGACCTATTTGTAAATTAGCACGGTCATATTTGCAGACATTTTCTAAGGCTTTGGGCTTTTAAGTACATTAATTCTATCATGTCTGTCTCCATTGGTCCTGGTGTGGTCCTCACACAGGTTTATTTTTTATTTTCTTTCTTTTCTTGCAGAATAACAAAGGCCACTGTGAGTACGACTGCTGTGGTCATCTCTGCTGGAGCTGTCCTTGGGAAGACTAATCCTGTGCAATTAATTCTGATGACAGTTTTGGAGATAATATTTTTCTATATGAGCAAATGGACCAACAACAAATTACTACAGGTACTGTGGTAGGATTTCCAGGCGTGTGGGGGAAAACTGTGCTGGGACTTTGGAATGTTGCCTTTGGGTGGTTTGTTAGTGCTCTGCTGTGAGGAACATCAGTGTGTTGTATCTCATTGCAGTAAGATTGTGGCTATGTTTTCATTAAGAGATGAAATCTGACTTTGAGACTGTACTTAAGGACCTGGAACTCCAAGCCCTGCACACTCTATATTTATATAATTGACTATATCTATATTCTTGTGTTGAAAGGGTGGGCTGATCTGATGAATTGGGATGCAGTGCATTTGGCCTTGCCCTGAGCATCCCCAACCCATGAATGAAGGCTTTGACTTACATAAAGCACTAATTGCTTTTAAAATTTGCCCTCTCCCTGTGTCTGCTCAGTCTGGAAGATTTCCAGTGGGACTGGTAAACAGCCCAGTCTGCACAGCAGAGTCAGACCTGCATTTAACATACAATGTGAACATACCCCAAACTCTCCACATATAAATTGTGTGTTAATGAGCTACATTAAACTTGGATAAGTTAATCTCATGTCAGTAACTTGTACATAAACTGAGAGACCGAAAATAAATTGCATGTAGGGAAGTCACGTGAGCAACTGTATTAGGAACTGCATCCTGTGGGATGAAATAAACCACAGATTTGGTTCTTGTATTGATACAGCTTTCAGACAATAGCAGCATGATGCATGTTCACCTCTTTGGAGCCTACTTTGGCCTGGCAGTCTCCTCCTGCTTCTCCGAGCCATTGCCAAGGTCTGAGAAGAATGCAAGCACCCCAAAGTCGGATTTATTGTCAATGTTGGGTAAGGCATTCGCTTTAACATCTCAGGTGGATGAAAAGCTTGCAGTGAGAACATAAGGAATGTTTTTTTGGGGCTGGCCACAACACGCTGAAACTTTTGCATCCAAAGGGCAGGTCTGAATGTGGTTGAGCGTAGAAAACTGCTGTGGTTGGTGGTTTCTGACAATGAGCTGGTGATTCTTGGTGTGTTTCCTACCAGGAGTACAACGGTTGGGGGGGTTTGCTGTGCTCAATCTCAGCATAAAGGCTATGCCAGGTTAACCCATCCCTCCTCCAGCTAAGTTGTCCCCTTTGGGCTTGGATAGGCATATTGGTAAAGGACCCAGGCACCAAAGTTGAGGTCGTTACTTGTATTTCAGTAGCACTTGCAGTTCCCAGCTGGGGCCAAGGCTCAGTTTGGTTTTGCAAGGTGCTGTACGGAGATACGGAAAGGCAGTCCCTGCCTAGAGGCTATGCCAGGTTAACCCATCCCTCCTCCAGCTAAGTTGTCCCCTTTGGGCTTGGATAGGCATATTGGTAAAGGACCCAGGCACCCACATTGAGGTTGTTACTTGTATTTCAGTAGCACTTGCAGTTCCCAGCTGGGGCCAAGGCTCAGTTTGGTTTTGCAAGGTGCTGTACGGAGATACGGAAAGGCAGTCCCTGCCTAGAAATGTAAATAAAAAGATAAAAGCCTGACGAAGGAGAAATGTAAATAAAAAGATAAAAGCCTGACCCAGGGTGGGGAATGTGATACAGACAGGCACATGGGAAAGGACCTGAGTGATGATAGGCTGAAGGCATTGGGAGTTCCATTTTTTTTTCTTTAAAAAGCCTTGGGTTTCTTTATAGTGCTTTATACTACATGAACTGTTTTCTCTTCCTCCTTGGCTTGCTTTGATTTTCTCTTGCAGCTGGTTTTGAGCAGTTATTCCACAGTTACATGAAAAGGAGCAGTAGTTATGGCCAAGGAGCAAGCCCTTGGTACCTCTGCAGAACAGGCAGGATGCTGATTGTTTGGAAATCAACAGTGGAATTGTTCCCACTTGTATCTGAACCAGAGTTTGAGGGGGTGATAGGTAGGACATGGCTGATGTCACCCTACCTTCAGTCCTGCAAAGGACCAGCCAGAGCTGGTTTGTTTATATTTAGTGAAAAATTTTGCTGTAGATCCAAGGGCTGCCTGTGAGCGAAGAGGGTTCCTAAGTGGTTGCACAGCTTCATTAGCTCTCTGATTGCTGTCCCCAACTCTTGGGTTGGAAAAGGGGTCTTTTCTGTGGCAGAGCTGTGCTCTGGCTGTGTTTGATATTACAGTGGTATGTTTTTGGGAAGGTGTTGGTGCAGGAGGTAACGCTCAGGGCTGAATGCATTGAGATGTTATCCTTTATTTATGGTGTGGGAATTACAGCGAATGTGAAATGTGGGCAGGAGCCCTCCAGAGACAGCCAGGGATGGACTCACTGTTTTAGAGCAGGTAGTGATTGTTGCTTGTTTTTGTCTCCAAGGTACTCTCTTCCTCTGGGTGTTCTGGCCAAGCTTCAATTCTATACTAGTTGTGGACAAAAACTGGACATTGATCTACAACACCTACATTGCCCTTGCCGTGAGCGCTGTCACTGCCTTCACCTTGTCTGCTATGACCACAAAGGATGGAAAATTCAGAATGGTAAGACATGAGAGAAAATCACTGCATATAAGGTATTTTTCTGTTACTCTCAGTAATACACTGAAATGATAACAGCTATTAAGCAAAAGCAAGTCGAGGTTTTCAGCCTTACAATCCTTATTTGCCTCCCAAGCCAAAGCTGTAACTTAGAAATGATGTTCTCAGACTGTGATTTACAGTAGACAGAGGCCCAAATTCACCCAAAATCTGGGTGAGAAGAGCAATTTATGGTATTGGACTGCTCTAAGATAAGTGAGGACTGAATTCTCACTCCATGTTTTTGTCATTGTATTTTACAGGCTCATATCCACAGTGCTGTACTAGCTGGTGGGGTTGCTCTTGCTTATACAGACCTCAGAGTCCAATATCCTTGGATTGCAATGATTTTGGGTCTGCTTGCCAGCGTGATAGCCATATTAGGATCTTACTGCTTACAGGTAGTACTCAAAACCTGCCTTTGTTTCTTGTCTAAGCTGTATAAACTTCTCCAATGTAGGACAGAACCACAGAACGATATGGGGTTGGATATGGTTTGATTCTGTATTATCTGCTGTCGGTTCTGTATTGTCTGCTCTCTGGTCCTTACTTCTTGCATTAAAAACAGGTTAAATGCTCTGTGGCTTTGGCCAAAAATGACAACCAGAAGGAATCTCTAGCATAATGGCTGTTTCAAACACAATCCTGGTCTCCTGTTCAAAATGTCACGCTATTAATATTCAAAGGATCCTAGCTTGCACGTGCCAAGTTCCCTGGGTACAGAGTAAAGCTGGATAAAGTTAGAATATTTGGGACGTTTTTGTACTTATTTTTACTTTTGTGTTCTTTTGTCTAAGGAGGTGGGCTGAGGATCCTGTAAGGATCATTTTCAGAATCAGTAGGGTACCTGGAGGGAAGCTTCTCTTTCAAGGGGATTAAAGCTAGGAAACCTGAAGTCTTTTTGAGTGGAGTGCAGGATTGCAATTTGCAAGACCAAAGGTCATTTTCCAGCTCTGTGATAGACAATATGCTGTTACCAACTTGTGTTCTGTGTGTAATTAAACCTTTCCTTCTTCCCAGGGATGCTTGAATCCTCCTCTCAAGATTCATGATTCCTCTGGAGTTCATTTCACTTTTGGCCTCCCTGCTGCGCTTGGAACTCTTGCCTGGGTCATTCTCACAGCAATGGAAAGTGGAACTTATTTCCCAGGGTACATAAACTCTTGCTATTAATTGATAAGTAATGATTATTGTAGTACGCCTTGAGAAGAGTTCTCATACATACACAAGGTCTGAACATCATCACAGGTCAATCGTTTTAACCCAAGATAATCCAAGATAATCTCTGAAACCCAAAAAAGTCAGTAAAAAAGTCTTCCAGAATTGAGCAGACTTTGGATCAAAACTTTTGGTCCTGTTTTTTGTCTCCCTTTTTATTTGCTAATTATACAGCAGACATAGGAGATGGAGGCTGGGGATGGGCATCCTCCCAGGACTCAGTTTGTCTTTCGTGATGTGTTTTGAGGAGCTTTGTGTGCTCAGAGGGCAGAAAGCAGCATTTCCCTTCCAATGAGGCTTTAACTCTGAGTCAGGGGTGAGAATGCCAATTTGGACTAAAGCCAGGCTGGACACTGAACTGGAAAATATACTTCTGGAGGTACCTCGCAGAAGCTGAAGAGCTCAGTTAAGGATATTCTCCAAGGGTTGTTTTGATCTGGTGCTGGCATCTCATTTTTGCTAATCAAGCTCGTGTCCTGTCATACTAAGTTCTCAGTTTAGGCAGGAATGAACCACAGTGCAGCACGGGGGCCTTGCGCTTCTCATGTTCTTATTGAAATCAATTTAATGAAGTTTTAGTACCACAATGATGGTTCCTAAGGGCAAAATACATCCTCTGGAGTCTGTTTTAGGCTTCTGATAGGATCTCTTAAAACATCTAACTGCAGCTGCAGAGAGATTCGGGAATAACAGAATTTTTATGAGGTTTTTGGAGTCTGTTTTAGGCTTCTGATAGGATCTTTTAAAATATCTAACTGCAGCTGCAGAGAGGTTTGGGAATAACAGAATTTTTATGAGATGCAAAATGCCATGTAGATACAGATTCATTCACAGTCTTAATGCTAAATTCAACAACTGTAAAGAGGTGAACCCCCTGTTTTGTTTTTCAGTTGGGGTCATTTGATCATGTTCCGTGTTGGTGCCTTCTGCGCGACCATCAGCATCGCCTTGATAACGGGGCTTATTACAGGTCAGTAGTAAAAAAAAATGTTTCAGAAAGATCTTCCTCATTTCCTCGGGGTATGTCATCTTATTGCCCCTGCTGTCACGTCAGCGTGGCCCTCTGCAGAAAAGGACTGGTTTAACTGGGGCTCTGAAGTGTGTTCCTGTGGGTAAATTATTTGTAGGAGCTGTCATGGGAAACACGAACGCCGGGGACTCTTCAAAGCCAAAGGCTTTTGAAGAGGAGAAGTATTCAACAGAAATAAATAACCCAGTGGCACCATTCTTTCATCGGTGAAGTTTATTTTAACAGAGGCTTGACAGCTGCCTTCCAATTTCAGACAGGAGATGCGTAGGGATGAAAATAATTTTATGTTTGGGTATTGTCTTAGTGACAGAAAAATGCTCTCTAGAGCTTGTCACTTTTTAGGGCCATTGGTATAAATCTGCAGAGTTTCAGTAAGGGCAGTAGCTCGCTTGCATCAGCTGAGCACGAGGCCTTTGATCACCAGGGGTTTGGGATCATCGGGGCTCATGTGTTTCCCATGTGACGCTCCGGTTTATGGCTCGTGCTGGTTTTCTACAGCATAAAATAAAAGAGAAACGGCGGGTGAAAATTGCTGTGAAATACAAAAAATATCCTTTTAGAGTGTGCTTTAGTTGATCTGAAACCTTTGCTTTACCATAACTTTAATTAAGAAACGGAGCTAATCAAGCGGAAACCTTTGCTTTACCATAACTTTAATTAACAGAGCTAATCAAGCAGATTTTTAACAAATGTTTGGCTAAAATAATCAAACATTCAGTGTTTAACCAATTGTTCAAAAATGTAAGATGTTTCCACCTGAAACCCCAAGCTAACAGTGCTGATAATCCCAACTGCTTTAAATACACAGGCATTTTTTCATGCAAGAAGTTAATAGCTTTTGCTGCGTTTTAAAAATCCAGCAGGCTGTTTAATGGAGATTTACCTGGAGGAATTAATTTTTAATAACACAAGCATTGAGTCAAGGGGCTGTGCTGGAACATTTATTTCTGAATTTGTGTTTTGATCTGTGTTATATTTGGACGCGTGTTACTCGGAAACCTTCAGTTATACACAATCTTCCCCTTTCCCCAATGTATATATTCACACTGGATATTTGTGTTTTTACAAATAGGTTTAATCTTAAACCTCAAAGTGTTTAAGACTGCCCCTGTGTCAAAGTATTTTGAAGACCAGTTTTATTGGGAGGTAAGTTTCCACGTAAAATGAGCTGTGTGGGATTATCTATACCACTTCACTGACCTTGATGAAAAACTCTAGGTATTTGAAATTAAAATAAGAAGAGGATAATTTAATTTCACAGTACGTTTTAGATGCCCTGTTTGAAATGCATGAACTGCTCCTGTGGTTGATTCAAAGCCTGAAATTTATATAACTTTGAGTTTATAAATGTGGGTTATCGTCAGCGAGGACTGTCGGTGCCGCTGGTGGGCACGGGGCTAAATCTGAAATGATCTTGTTTGTTGGAACATGTAAATTTTGGTGCTCGGACACGCTCCGGGCTTCACACAGAGCCCCTGGGGAGACCTGAGCAGCGTCTGAGAGAGGGGTTTTTAGAAGCCAAATGGGTGGAATCCAAAGTGCTGAGTGTGACACTGCATCTGAGAAAAGAAATGGATGAAAATAAGCATCTCGTAAGATTTTCATTGGGTTTTTGTGATTTGATGCATCAAATGTTCTGATACGAGGATGTTTGTCTTCCCAGTTTCCCCACTTGGCTGTTGGATTTTGAGCAGAGGATCCCAGATGACAGATTTGACTGGAATAAGCTTTTCCCCGTTTGCCGCCAGAGAAAAGGAACCGCTGCGATGGGCCAAAGGGCACTTACGGGTCAGTTCTCAGGCTCCAAAAAAGCCACCCCAATGGACAAACACACAAAATTAGGAATGAACTGGTTTAGTTATTCCTGAAAGATACAGGGTGTAAACTTAAAGCCGCAAATTTACAATGCATTTAGCTTTTCTGCTCTCGTGGTCTTACCTTGCCTATTTTTGTAGGATACGTCCAAATAGTTGGCTGCATTCACTGCTGGAATGGCTTAGCAAGCAAAATGCTTGGAAACTTTAAACTATTTTCAGCTCCCAAGTTTAAAAGCCAAAAATATGTATTTTAAAGTAGAATTTTTCAAGGAGTAGGTACTCATTCTGATTAGTGAAGTATTAAAGTACTTGTTTTTAAGCTAAATGAATTCTGTTGAAGGCCTTGTTAAGGATTTGCTGAGTGAGCTGGATCAGGGCCAGCCTGAACTGAGTTATCCGACTGCTGAAAGAAAAATATCTAATTACTTGGTTGGAAGTTTGAACGGCAAGAAGTAAAATTGTTCTGCTTGTGGATGGTGCCCCTGAAATCGGTGGTATTACTTGTGTTTATTTGGCAGCAAAGCTCAGAGCAGCATCGTACTTTGAGATGTTTTACTGGGAGCCAGGGAGGGTTTTGGTGCCCGAGGTAGGGCCTGACAGGGCAGAGGATTCTGCACAAACCCATTTTTAAATGGATTGTGATCCGCAGCGTTTCTTCGTTTCAAAATAGTTGACATAGAAAAAAACTCTTCCAATAATGCTTACATAATAAAAAAAGTCTATATTTGGCTGGTTTTATTTATTCAGCATCTCTTCCAATAATGCTTACATAATAAAAAAAAAGTCTATATTTGGTTGGCTTTATTTATTCAGCAGGCTTACTTGCTTAAAAATGAAGTAATGAGGAAAAATGTACTTGAGCCTCTACAACATCAGCAAGTTGTTACTCATTCTTGCCAGAGAATAAATTCAATATTCAGGGAGGAAGGAAAAAAAATCCCAAAGCAGTGTTGTTCTATGTTATGCAAGAAAAGCCACACACCAGTAAGTTTTGAAATTGAAGAAATGGTTATATTATCCAGATATAGGAAATATTTAATAAATATATGTTAAAAAGTTGGTTTAAAGCATTTTTAGTAAGTCTTGGATTGTAAATACCATCATAGAAACAGCTGGTTAAATACATCCATTCTCCACTATCCTATTTACTTGTAGCAAACATCGTATCAGAAAAGCGACGTCTGTTGTTAATTGTAGCAATTGTACATCTGTCAAAAACACCACAAATTATATCGACATAACAAGAGTAAAAAAATGGAACAGAACAGAACCAGAATTTTTAGTGCTATGATTGAAAGTTTTCCTTGTTTTATCTTTAGACACAATTGAAGGTCGCTGTTTACAAAACGCTTTTACAAAATCTTGGGAGTGTGCAGTTAAAAAACCAGCGGGGCCAGGGCGCTTCCAGCGGCGCGTTCATTGCCACAAATCTTCCGTGCGACCAAATTTGAAGACCAGTCCCCTGTTTAAAAGAGAATAAAGGGACACGAGTATGTAAAGGAGCAAATCAAATGCCTGGGATTTTAAATACACAATGTCAGGGAGGAAGTTGGATTTATAAATCCAATTCCTGGTCCCGCAATAAAACCCATGCGGAGAGATCCCAGGAATCTATTGCCTTTTATTCCCCCATGTCTAGTTACAAAACAGGGCTTAAGAGAAAAACAGATTACTGCAAGTTTCAGATTTAATTGTTTTAAACCAATTAGGTAAGAATTGAACGTAGGAAGATAGTCTTACCCAAAAAAGATGAACGCGTTCTGGAAAAACACAGCTATTCCTGGGTATACTACTGGTTTTTCTAACAAAAGAAAGAATCTCCGTAAGTTTTTGAGAAGTGATTTTCAAGAATATCCCATCCCTGACATTTCAGAAACGCGAAGATGCACTATGTCAGCAAGGGTGACCAGTCTCACTTGATAACGAACACGTGGAGTCTGTGCCCTGGGAAGTAGTTCTAAGGAGCTGCATTTGACAGGGGGGTCCATTACAGAATCACAGAATCTTCTAGGTTGGAAGGGACCTTAAAGATCATCTTGTCCAACCGTCAACCTAACTGACAAAAATAGACACCCACACAACAGACAAGGATCATCACTAAACCAGACCTCCCAGCACCACATCAACCCGTCTTTTGAACACCTCCAGGGATGGGGCCTCCACCACCTCCCTGGGCAGCCCATTCCAATGGCTGAGAACCCTTTCAGTGAAAAAATTTTACAAAAAATTTTACAACGTAGGATTCCTGACCAGGTACAGGGTGAAGTGACAACAGACTCCTGGTGCTGGTGCTCCTGCACTACGAGAGTGCCACGGCCAGAATTCAGACAGCCCTAAGCACCTCAAAGGCCGCTTCTGTTCTCTACCACGATGGTCCCAGTGGCTCAGTGGTGTGACACACACCACAAGCATAAGCCTCACCCCACTGGAAAATTGTTCATGCAATGGCTTTTGTCCTCCCCCCGCCCCCAATCATTTAGTTTTCCACATAAAAGCAGCCTTTCCTGTTCTCTAACCAAAAATGTGCATCTCAAACGCAGTGCTCCTAAAGACTGTAATTATCACAGGGGATTGCACATCCTGTTTGGAATGTGTGTGTGTAAGTGTATATACCCATACAGTCATATATAATGACAATATACAAAATGGGGGTGCACAAGTGACACGACTACACACCTGATGCACCCAGGTTTTCCTGAAAACCCCCTGTGAATTGAGCGAGGCCAAGACTGACCAGAATGGAAATTACACAAAACCACCAATGTGCCGCCTGGTGTGAAATTCACTGCAGCTCCAGGCACAAGGAGCATCTTTATATTTATTTAAACAACCTTCCTTTTGAAAAACAGAGTAATTCACTGCAGTTTTCATGTCTTTCTCAAGACTTGCCTTCACAAAATGTGACTGTGGTACGCTTTAAATTATGAATTTAAACAGGCAATTTGAATTAATTCTTTCCCTTTTGCAAATTTAGCGGATACGCTTTGAGAGCAATTTGCACAAAATCACTAATTTTTATTTTGGGAATAAATGTTCACCCAGGGAATTATTCCCATATAACTGCAGCAGTTTAATTATATCAGTGCAGTTCCCAGGTGACCAGAACTTGTGTTTCTAACGAGGCTAATTGGAAATTTGTGACTCAGAAGTAGATTAAATCCACCCCAATAATAGTAGATAGTATGGGACAGTGGTGCAACCAAAATATTAAAACTGGCCCTGCCTAGAAACTGTGTAAAAGTAAGTTCTAAAATTCAACAGTCATTTAAAATACTTTAAGCTTTCAAAAGCGGATCAGGTCCCATTCCACGCTGTACCTTACCTTTAACAACGTAACCTCCAAAAAGGATCCACATGGAAGCAATCAGAGATCCAAAAGCCATCATAAACCCGATGAACAGCCAGATCCGAGCACCTGGAAAAGAGGGAGGCGTGTTTTGCATCCGAGCACGGACACGTGTGACTTTTCAGTGTGCTTTTGTTTCAGAGCACTCCCTGCCACACGCCAGAGCTTTGCACAGACACACAACGGGCACGTTGGAACTGTTCTTACATCCCTTCCAAGACTCCACAGATCTATTGCTACCCCCCAGCCCCCTACCTGTCTGGCCCAGGCAGCCTTCACTGTAACTGTCCCCCCGAACTTGTCCATTAGACACCGCGTTGATCCTGTAGGAGCAAAACAGGGTAAATACAGGTAAAGCAAGAAGTAAATGTTTACAAAACATTAACAGAAACTTCTCAGAAACCTACATAAAAAGGATGATCTTGTGTATCTTGCATTTTTTGGTATTTTTTTTTTTAAAGTGGACAAGACTAAAACTTAAAAAGCATTTCTCCAAAGACTAGTAAGACTTGGACCTGTATAACACACTTAATTTATTAAAAAATGATTCCTCACTCTGAGTATCAACAAATATAAGAAAGATACTAAAGATACTAGATAGTAACTTGATGTTATTCTTAGCTATCTTTCCATTTAAAGACTATGAATTCTTTTATTACTTGCATAAAATAAGTTCTAGGAGGATGTAGCTCACAAGAAATCACACTTACATTAGGAATGCAATCGTGGCTATAACCCCACAAGCATGATACGAATGGTTGAAATCCTCCACTTGAGGATATTTTACAGCTGCATCTATGATTATCCACCAACCTGTAAAAAACTATTACAAGAAAGAGCACAATCGCTTAAAATATGGACGTGAGCCTTTCAAGATTGCTCCAGAAAAAACAACTTTAATATACAAAATCATTCTTATGGTCTCCAACCGAGTCAACTGATAGCACAACTAGTTTTGCTACCGACATAGGAACAAGATTAAATGCAAAGGCAGAGATTTACCGGCTCCAATAGTTATTACATTGGTAAAAGCTGCAAAACCCAAGCAACACATGGATGCAAGCACACAGAACAGATTTTGTCGTTAACTCTGCTGCTACATACAAGGACAAAGTACCCATTTTGTGTCCAAACGATTAGTAATTTTTAGCTTGAGAGCTGACAACACCTAAAAAGCCCGAAAGCAGCCTAAGAGGAACCGTACGTACCAGCACTCCCGCAGCAACAGAAGCGATGGTGTTTCGTTTCTCTCCCCAGTCAACACACTCCGAGCACCTCAAGCTCTCCAGAAAACCTGACATTTTTCAGTGCTCTGAAGGCGAAGAGAAGAAAAAGAGACGTTTATTTTCCAAGAGGGAAAATAAAATTTTCCTCAGGGATGGAGGGCTGGCCGGCAGGTTAAAAACTCCTACAACACTACCTGAAAATCCCCGGGACGGGGCCCCTTCCTGAGGGAGGACCAGCCGGAGAGAGCCTGTCCCCCAACACCCCGGGGAGCTGAGGGGAAGACACCCCCGGTCAGCGCTCTCAGCGCTCGGGAGGGGGCCCACAGCCCTTCTGCTCCCTAGGCCGGGCACATCCGGCGGGGATACAGCCATCTAAGAGGAGAAAAAGGCACCGGCCGAGCCTCCCGTCCCGTCCCGTCCCGTCCCGTCAAGCGCCGCCGCCCGCTCCCCCCCCTCCCCGCGTTTACCTCAGGGCGGGGAACGACCGGCGACTCACCGGCGCGCGCAGCAGCCCCAACCCAGCCGCACTGCGCACGCGCGGCGCCCCGCCTCGGGGCGGCCCCAACGGCTCCTCCTGCGCATGCGCCACGAGGCGGGGCGGTGGGGGGGGGAGCGCTATGGCAGCCAGCGCGCACGCGCGGGTCAGGCGCCAGCCGCATGCGCAGTGCGCGCCGTTACGTAAGGGGAAGGGGTTTCTGGAAGGTTCTCGCCCGCCCTCAGTCGCTGCCCAGAGGCGGGAGCGGGAGGTGGCGGTTGTGAGCGCTGCGTTCTGCCGGAGCTCTTTGGCGGCTCGTTTTTTTTTTTCCCGACTGGAAAAAAGAACCTGGCCGGTTGGGGTTGGCTATGGGGGTGACTCAGGAAGCGGGGTTGTCTCCTCAGGCGTCTCCGCTGGAGCAGGATCCGTGCGGGGGAAGCCCGGCTGGCTGGGGACGGTGAGTCGGCGGGGGCAGCTCCTGGGAGCCGCTGGGTTATTCTAGCAAAAAGGGGTTGTTCTAGCAAAAAGCGGTTCTTCAGGGCGGTGGGAAGGGAGAGGCCGTTATTCGGCTTTCCTTGGTGTGCTGGGGCGGGG